AAAAAAAAAAAAAAAAAACACATCATAGTAAAACCAATACCTTCTCAGCTTCGCATCGAAGCTAAAATTAAAAAATGAAGTCGGAATTTAGATACAAATATGTCAGTTAACCTACCCTAGGGCCAGTTATGTTATAAATGTTGAAGGATCTTACTCATCCAGAATTACTCCTTGTGTATTTATATAACAAGTATAAGGTGACCATTAAATTATATGATGAAAAAAATATAATTATATAAGCATACTCATATATGCTAACAATTAGATTATTAAACATTATATTATATATGTTTTTCTAATTAAAAAAGAATATCTTAAATTATCATCCTTATTATTTAGGGTTGTCAACCGTACAGTATAGCTCCAAGTGCTGTCGAACTTAGCTTTGAAAATACCGCTGATACTCCTGAATGCTATCACACTTGTACTAATCCCCATTATACGACACCCTTACAAAATGATCTTTATTTTGGTATGTAAATGGATAAAATGTCCAAAAATCATTAATGTAGTAGTTGTTATTATTGTATTAACATAAATTTTATGTTTCATTGTTAATCGAATTTTTAGCGAGTAAGGTTTATACGGTAAAGCCTAAAATGAAACCAATAATGTATGAAATCTACAAAAATGGTCCCGTTGTGGCAGCCATGAAAACTTACGAAGATTTTTTTCACTATAAAAGTGGTAAATATTTAATAAATTGAATTATATTTGTTGTATAACGATTTTAATTAAAAAAAACTTTTATTATTTTAAATTACCTATTGTATTGAAGGAATTTATCAATATAAGACTGGTTCATCAAAAGGTGATCATGCTATTAAACTAATTGGATGGGGTGAAGAAAATGGAATGCTCTACTGGTTAGCAGTTAATACTTGGGGTACATTGTGGGGGATGGATGGAATATTTAAAATAAAACGGGGTAGCAATGAATGTGGAATTGAAAGTCGTATATCAGGTGGCTTACCAAAGTTATAAAAATATACTTAATGTCTTTACACTAATAAAAAAACAGAACAAATTATTTGAAATCATATGATTTACATATTAAGTAGGATATAATCCATTTATTTTTTTAACTTTTGTTAAATTTAACTACAGTTTCATTTATAATTATTTAAAAAATGTATATGTATACCTTAAAAAATATTTATACTTCTAAATTACATACATTTTGATATGTTTTTAAGTTGTGTTATGATATAAGTTAAATAATTTGTGTAAAAGTAATAATTAGAACATAAATATATTTTTGATAATGTCTGAATATTAAAATTTATCCATATTTAAGTTTTTTAATTCTAAATATTTGAAAGAATTAGAAAAAGTTAAATTATTGTTTTGATTTTTTTTTATCTAACACTAATGTAATATAATTTGACCGATATATTAATTGAGCTTATAATTTTATTTTGTATGAATTCGATATATATATATATTTTAAACTATGTATAAAGTAAATTTAATTTTTACTATGGATCTCAATATATTATATTGATAAATATTGTAATTTTACGTGACACAATGCATTATAATTCTTAAGTATTTAAAGTAGTAATTTAAGATAAAAATTAGAATTAAAAATGTATTTTCCTACATTATTTAGACAGCAAAAATGTTATTTCGTAGATACTAGATATACGTTATATTTTCTTAGCGTTTTCAATTTTACTAGAATATAGAAAGTGTTGTGTATTATTAATAAAAACAAAATACATGTTTTAATTTTTTTTCCGAATTTTGTATGAATAGGTCGAATTATTTTACTTTAAACAATAGCTGATTCCTAGAATATATTATACACATATAGGAAAAAAAACCCTGCATAATGGTGACGTGGCATAGTTAGATCAAGTATAATGATATCTGACAGTGATTAAAATCACTATAAAAAAAACTCTTCGATGCAAATCTTAAATAGTGTTTAAATTAAAAAAATTGATGGATTATTACATGATCTGCTATTTCCTTATTTATATCCTGATTGAGATAAAGTATGTCCAATAAACGAAGGATATAAATATTATTTCTCATAAAAAAATTATATTGATCCATACATTTTTTAAAAATTTTCACACAAAAATAGCTTTTGGTAGCCATTTTCACCGTGAAGACAAAATAAAATCCAAAAATGTTTTTTTCATAATAAAATACATTATATTAGTTTTAATTTAAGATATATATATAAGTGTCAGACTTTCCGGAACACTTTCAAAAGTTAAGTTGAAAAAGTTCTACTTTCTATATGCATTTTTTATATTTGAAGCCCCCCCATATATAGGGAAATAGTTTGATTTAAAAAAAAAGTTGAAAAAGTAAATTTTTTATGAAAAAGTTGTCATTTTAAATCCCCCCTGTGGGCAGGTTAAGGGTCAGATTTATAAAAAAAATATACCAAATGATAGGTAAAGACATCAAGCATCTATAAAAAAATTATACTGATTTTGTTCATTTTTGAAAAAGTTATGGCAATTTTAAGTAAAAAAAATTGAAAAATTTCGAAAATTAGCGATTTTTAAATTTCTATTTTTTTTTGGAGATTTCCTTCATTTGCGGGGAACGAGGGAAAAATTTTGAATTTTTAAGGGTAATGTCTTCAACTAGATACGATTTGTGATCTTTTGACGTATTGTTGAAAGAAATCAGTCCAGTGAGAGCTGAGAAAAAGTGGCAACAGACATAAAAAAAACACATCAATGTAAAACCAATACTTTCTCAGCTTCGCATTGAAGCTAAAACATAGATAATGTTATATTTAATTTATATTGAAAATTTTGGTATTTCAGTGACTGTTAATAAAAAAATTTTTCCACTAAACGTTATATTTTATTAATGATAACAGTGATAATCTTACTATGCAATCAATAATTAGGTTTTGATGATATTTGGGTGACCCGTAATCTCCTAGTCTCTTTTACAGTTAATACTTTTCTATTTAATAGGTTGAGACTTACTTAATATAAGTATAAATTATGGAAATTATATATTTTTACAAGCGATAAAAATATATGTAGAATTTATTAGCAAAAACGCTTATTTTATTTAATTTTGATAAAAGTTTAAAGTAATGTTAATGCTATGACTAACATTTAGTGGGATTACTGAACAACAGTCAGACAATTTGTTCAGTCAACATCACAAATTATATAAATAAAAAAACATAATAAGAGATATTATCACTTTAGCATAAACTGAATATGAATATTAGTTTAAAAATATCACACTTACAATGACTAAAATATTTTAATCAACTGCAGGTTTCATTTTATTGTGATAATTTTTGAAATATTTTTATAAATGAATTAGCGTATGTAAACAATTTATCGGGCGAATGGGAAATCACTATTTGTCATCTCTATTGTCTTAAACAAAAAATATAAACTTTAAATATAACAAACTTAGAAATAACGAATTATGATTGGTTAATGGTCATAAAAAATGTTACATTTAATAGAAATTAACATTCAAAAATATTTTAGAATTATAATTTTATTTTGAAAACTTTAATGAGAAAAAAGTGAATTTTTCTATATAAATTTTCTCGTTATTTTTTATGAGCTGATATTATTGTATGGTCAATGAAGTGATTGTGTAGCAACACCACGTGTTCGGGTGGGAGTCGTGTACTACGTTGTCTTGTAGCCCTTGGACTTGGCAAATACTGAGCTACGGGTGGTGGGGACAACGGCGCCGTGTCAGCTGTATGGCGTCAGCGGGGTCGGCTACGGTTTTCTGGGACCGCGTCCAAAGAAACGCGGTTCACTGCATTACGGGACAAACGTGACTTTTGTGTGCAAACGACAACGATCGAACACTTTACGAAGGCACAACAGTGTAAATTTACAGATGTAACTACCTCAGGTTTAAGGGTATGTATTTTAAGTTATACAACTATGTGTGGCGTTTTCGATTATTTAACACAAGAAGTAGAATTAATAGTATTTGTGCTAAGAATTAATGATAAATAGAGATTATATAATAAATTACATTTATCATAACAGCTCTTATAAAGTTAATTATGTATTTTTTTAAAGTAATTAAATATTTGGTGAATGCTACTTTTTATATAGTTAACAACATTTAACAATGATAAATAAATTCATATACGTAAACAATTTTCGTGCAAGTTCGGATAATCAAAATGCTTAATAAAGGATTTTTACTTTAGTGTAATAGTAATTTGTGAAATAAAATAAAGATGTTGACTTCAATATTGAGGAAAGATCAAAAATTCAGGATCAAAAATATTGTTTATTAAATAATAACAGAAGCACCATAAACAGTAATAACATTGTCATTTCTTTTCACGTTTTTGCAGTCTATTAGATCTATAGATGTCTCCTCGAAGAGGAAGTCTCTGAACTATAAATGTTCGGGTATGAGAGGTTAGTCTGTTGCCGGATTAATTGTACTAATTCTAATCATTAAATATTTTTTGACTTTTTGTTTTGTTAATATCCCCATTGTTTTAGTATTTAAGAGGTTATTATGATCATATATTAGACATTTTAAAAAATATATTTTTAAAACGCAAAATACATAATTTTACTGTGATGTAATTTTAGTTAAAATTTTATACAAACAAAATAACTTTTTTACGACCCATATTATTTAGTTTTGACGTAATACACTACTTGAGGTTTACATCGTTTAATTAAATAATATTATGCACGACTTTTTTTAGAATTCTTCAAAATTCATACTATGACATCATCATTATAATAACTTTCTGTTAGAACCAGTTCACATATAAATTTTAACTAGAACATTAATTACAGTTGACGTTTGGTGCAATTTTAGTCTTCTTTATTTATTTTGAATTATAACAGACGTCTATTAATTCGTAAAAAATATATCCATTATTTTATTTTATTTATTCTTTGACGAGTATATTTTGAAATACTTTCTATAGCAAAATGCTAAATGAATGCAGTATGCGTATTAACTTACCGGATGACTTACTTGCAAAAGACAATTGTATGCTATTTAATGAATATCAATTATTTTGCTAAATATTGGTGATCCGCCAACAACATAAGCATGTTTTTTGGAGGGATTGAAAATCTTTCATTCACATACTTTTTAATTTTTTTTAATTGAACATTGTTTAATGTATATTCTTGTTAAATTACAATGATAATCATGTAAGTTGTAGTATGTCTGAGATATTCAGGTGTTTTATTTAGATTTTGATAAAAACATATTATTTTACATATGTACTTATAGAATGTACATATAAATGAAAAGAAAAGATGATGAAAACATATTATACTTCTAGATGTCTTTGTCACGCTTTCAGGCAACACTTAGACGTTTTTATGATGAAAACTTCTCTTAAATAATTTATCTTTATTTTAATAATTAGCTAAAAAAAGTATAATTTTTTATTTGTTTTAATGGCCTACAGGCCATTTAGGTTTATAGTGGTCTTCATAAATGAGGTTATTACTTAATCATAAATACAAGATATACAGTCAGTATAGTCAGTCCGTAGGCTGTAATAGTAACTCCTATTACTGGGCTCAATATACGAAATAGTATTTGGTAGTGCGCAAGTACAGTCTCGTTACTTTTAACACTAAAACAGCTAAAAGAAAAAAAGTTTACGCATGGCACATAAAAGCTCATAAACGAAAATAATTATTTTATTTTGTCCATAAAATGATTTTCAGAAAACTTTACTACATCTTCGTATAATAAGTAGTCTCAACATAATATTACAAACAAATTAATTTAATGAATAAAGTGCTAACAACATTGATATTGTGTGAAAAGGTCATTGTTGCGATTCCTTGAAAGGTCATTAAAAAATTATATTACTAGAGTGCATTTATAATCATAAAACAAAAACGTTCATAAGGAAAGCAAAAGAAGCCATATGAAAGAGATAAAATAATTGACTATTTAAACTAGACAAAGTTAAATGAAGAAATATAAAATTTAATTATTAATGTTCTTACTTTAAAAATAAACTATAATTTCTTAGTCATACTCGATTTTTTATGTAATTTTCCTATTTATTAAAAAATATTATCTTTTTAGAAAAAAATATAGACCAAAAATATAGCTAACACCTTTTATTATTCACTATAACTAAATATCGTATTGAATTGTAAAATTATTAAAATAAATAAACTTTGTCATTATTTTGTTAAATAGTTTTATGTTGAGTAATAAAAACTGGTTAAACAGTTATTTATTTAAAAATTTGCTTGTTAAAACTTACTTAATACTAAATGTATTCTTGCTCCATCAATCGAGAAGAGTACGCTTTTTTTTTAATTTTATATCAATTCATTACTCATTAATTATTGATCAAATCTCTCGATTATTACTGAACTTTTATTTTTTGATTGTTTGTCTAGCTGAAAATAAACATTTTTTACAACTACCATATACTATAACTTATATGTGATAGAAAAATATGCGCACTTTTATTCCAGATTACTCTGCAGAATGTCCCACAAGGTTCTGACGTCTTTTGATCTAGCAAATATTTAGAGTTAAATATTTTTTTTTAACTTGTAATACCTTAAGACTATAATAGTATTATACATAAAATTTATTTTTTATTTTATTAAAATAAAATAAGATTTATTGATAGTTACCAGAATTATAAAAATAAATCAAGATACCCTAAGCTATTTTTTAGACATTTTCTTACCAAAAATTATGACGGGCTGAAAACTAATTAAGGATAAGTATTTATTGACTTATAATCATTTTAATACATAAAGAAGGTATGTAGTGCGGGTGGAGTATAATACATACTCCACCCATATTACTAAAATTATAAATATATGTCATGTTATAATACGTAACATGATAAATATATACCAGTACAAGCTGTACCTACCTGCGCTATATACCCACTCAATGTATTAAAATGCTTGTATCTCAATAAATACTTATCTTAAAATTATTATCGATCTATGACCATTTTTTGTAAGGAAAGAGTATTCTTATAAAAAATCCGAAATTTCATAAACATGTATTGGAAGTTTTTACGCATACATCATAAAGGAAAATTTTGATAAATATTAATAAAAAAAATGACATATTTGAGAATGAACAAATTTTCAATACTATACGACAAAATTACACTACTTATGTGTAAAATTAACGTTTATACTAAATACATTATATTGGGAATTTGTGGATCATTTCTTAGTGTTATTATTTTAAAAACAAAAAAATTTTATTTTATTATTTTAATATTAAAAAATATACTTTTTCATTTTTTCTATGGGTTTTGTAATTTTTATCACAACACATTTACAGGCCGCACTCCTTCTATTCTCTAAGTATAATAATATAAAAATAAAGTACATTGACTTAAAGATTGTTCTTTTCCATATTAAATCATTACCTTATAATTAAGTTAGTTAAATATGTATGTTCCCATTTAAAAATACCTTCTTAGCTAAACATCGGAGTTATAAAAGTTCCTACTAATGGGATAATATTAAAAACATTTTATGATTAATAAACTAAGAAAATCATGTACTTTAAATAAACGAAAAAAAAAAAAATTCTCAATATTGTTTTTATTTTTGATTAATAGTGTGCTCAATTATAAGAGAATCATTATGTGCATAGGGCAAAGTGTGGGTAGTTATAAACAAATTTGAGAGTTTAAACCAAATAAACATATAATTTGTGTTTTATAATATTATATAAAATAACTCATTTTCAAAATATTTATTGGTTTAAACATTTTTTTGCTTATTAGAAAACTATTATGAAATCAAAAATGCGATGTTAAAAATTAAATTAATTAACCTCATATTAATGAGTGTTTATGAAGTCTGTCAACATTTATTAATTAAATGGTATTTATTTTTATTATTAAAATATAATTATTACAGAAATATAATTCGTCCATAATTTCTATTTTAGTATGGTTTTTTAATCCTTTTACAACTACCTCTGATAAATATTATTCAGGGGCAGTAATATTCATGCAATTAAGGAATTATAAATACTTAAATTACACATTTTTAACCATTATATTATCGTCAGATGATCAAATCAAATTATCTAGTAGATATATTAAAAAATAAAACAAACATTTTTCATGAACTGCTTTAAAAAGTGGATTAATTGTAAACCTCAGAGAACATTTAAAATTAATTTTATAGTTTAATAAATAAAATTATACATAAATTTTTTTTTGTATAATCATTAAAGGACAAAATATGATTGATTTATTAAATAAATTTTTTTTTAAATAAAAATTAATTAAATAAATTCAAATCAAATATTGTTATTTTAATTTAAAATATATATAAAATTATAGAACTCAATAAATACATTTACAAAAATTATTTTTTAAAATTAATTACTTTAATATAAACTTTTCAATACATTTATTGTAGTATTATATAGCACTAATTTATTATGGGTAAAAAAATGAAAATAAATTAGTACTAGTTTATCTAAACTTTATAATGTTTTATTTATTTTATAATAAAAATATGGTATCTTATAGGAATTTTTACCAAGAATGTGCGTTAAGTTTTTTTATTAGAAAGGTTGTAATATTCTTTATGGGTATTCTATAGTTTAGTATAAATTTCAGAATAAGTTATACTTACATTAATTATTTAACAAATGATCGATATAATTAATTTGTAAAGTATGAATAAAAATAATAGTTACTGGTATTTTTGTTAATTGGATATAATGTTTTATATAATATTATATTTTCTTTCAAGGAAGAATCATTTATTTACTTTGAATTGTTAAACTGTAATGTATATTTATTTCATGGAAAATATATATGATGTTTATTCGTGGTATTAGGTGATAAACTAAACCAACTACCAATAAGAAATAGCAATTTATTAGTAGTTATGTTACAAAGTCTAATTATAAATATGGTTCTTACCGTTGTTCGGAATTTTTCTCTGTAGTGTAGTTATTATATTCTAATTATTCAAACTCTTACTAATTACTTTTATATTTGTGCTAATTTATTTATGTATCTCTGCAGTTTGTCCATTCTATAGCTTTCTAATCTATATATACGTGTTTCAAACTTATAAAAATATCATTTGGAAATTGATAATAACTGAAATTTCTGTTTTAAAATTTACATACAAGTGAGTTTTTAAATAAAAAAAATAATGTCATATATATATTCTAAATAAAATTTGATTTTTATATTTTTATTACTATTAGCAAATAATTTAACTTTATGAATTATACACAAGAAAATAAGGAATTATAATGTATTGCAGGATGTCCGAATTTATTGTGTTGACTGGAGGACCACCATGGGGTTTTCAAATTATTGGTGGTAAAAATACAAATTATCCGTTGAAAATTTTAAAGGTATGTTACTTATCAATTATATTTAAAATTATAATTTTATATGTGTTGTTAAAATTAAGAATGTATGAGCTAAGAGACTTCTAGCTAATTCATATTAGTATAATTAATTGAAGTTAGTTTTACTGCATACATTTTGACACAAGATATAGATACAGCGTTTATTTATATCGTAAGATTAAATTAATTTTTGTTTACTTTATACTAGCGAGTTTATGCAAGTACATTCTCTCATGACTGTATAATTACTCAATTAACTTATTGAAAATTATTATAACTCATTTATTTTTTGCAAGATACTAATTGTATTAAAATATACAAAATCTACTATATTTTCATAGAAATTATTTAATTTAAAATAGTGGAAAATAATGGGATAAAATTCTATCATCCAAATAGAATTACCCCTAATTATATTCTTATATTTTATCTTGGATATGTATCTGATTGAGTAACTAACCCTTGGTATATCTAATCTGAACTTATCTTTGAAAACTTACTTAAAATCTGTTTTAATTTATTAATTAGAACTGTTATTTATTACATTTAATACGATATAAGTATTTTCAAATAATAAGAAAAAAATAACTGGGAAAATCATGAGTTGAATTAGTAACAACTCTTTATAAATGCAATTTTTCAGCGTCTAGCCAAGTACTCATTGGCCTCGGTCCCATGTAAGTCAGAAACATTAGTAAACATTATTTTTAGATTTAACTTGAATAAAATATCATGTTTTGCTCATTCCTGCTTTATTTTAACAAACACAAACCTTATCATTGGAATATTTTCAAAAACATAACTATTGGATTGACCATTACGATAGAATGTCAAATACATTAATAGGCAGGCACAACAATAACCATATGCCTTCCTTAATTGACCACTTGAGTTTATTTTACCGTAATATTGTAAGAAAAGTATGGAGTGCACTCTTTAACCTTTAGAAGTGTCAATATATCATTTATAGAATCGAAATTTAGCCATAGATGCAAATTATAGGGGACTTAAAGGAGATTAGCACATATTTTTTTTTATTTTAACACGGTCGACATAGTGTTGGACGCCCTGGAACTACCGTGAGGTATTGCTTCAGGGCGAGGAGATTAGCACCTACAAAATTAAAAAAAAATATGTGTAATAAGTACACATGTTCTTATTCTAAAATTCTTTAAACAGAGTGTTCAGTAAGTAAGGAAACAGGTCAATTTCTATAAACAATGAGAGCAATAGAAATCTGTTTCATTGTTTACTGAAAACTTAATATAATAATTATATATAGAAATTTTAGGGAGAGGGAAGTTAGATATTATAAACCATATCAAAAATTTTTTTGAAATATCGCTTATGAATTTAGCTCTGAAAATTATTGATTCTTTTCTAATATATACAGTATATAAAAACACAAAAACTATTACCACCATTCATTAAATCAATAATATTAAATCCTAAACTTTATTTTAAATAAATACAATCAAATTTGTTACTATAAAACTAAATTGGTTGTTTTATTGCTCTTTGGAACCATTCGATAAAATTTTATTTTACTGAATAATTATAAGTAACGCCAAATAGTCGAGTACGCTGGATACCGAATATAAGTTTCCAAATATATTCCTAGTCTTAAACTAATAATTCTGATAACCTTTTTAAAACTTGTGTTCCTATATCAGTCTATGTAATATTTTTGTATTACTTCATATTTATAGATGTGTATTTTGATTTTGTTGAAAAATTAAATGTATCTTAGAAAATATTTTTTGGTAAAAAATTATATTCTAAAAAAAAAAACTTGTTAAACTAAAAATCATTTAGGTCCTTTTAAATAATTACCTATTCAAATATAATTTTACAACAAAAGAATTTCTCTTAAGTTTTAACGATTTCAAATGTTTTATTTTATATTAATTTCTTAAAAAATAATAAATTATGATTCAAGATAAAATTTTGTTATAATGATTAATAAAGTATCTTACAATTATATAGATAAGTTTATTTCTGATATTTTTGCAAATAATAGTTTTTAATACTAATTAATTTTGTTTTAAATTTAAAACCAAATACTGAAATATTTTTCTATACATGTATTATGTCAAAAGTTTTTTAACATGTAAAGTTTCAGTGATTTTAATTAGGCCTTTACTGTTAGGTTTCACTTTAGTTTTTTGTAATGATTCGGTGGAGTCCCTTAAAATTTATATTTTTTTTGGTTCGGTATGTTCTACATTTTTACATAGTATGACTCAGTTGGATCTAAACAAATTTTTTTATTTAACACTCTGGTTTGTTTCTGTCTGATTGAAATTTTTATTTAGTAGTACGGTTTTTTTGGGTTCATATACAATTTTTATCTGTCTTGGTCCAATTTTTATTGCATATAAAATTTCGGTCCAGTCTTCACTTTTTAATTTTTCAAAACTGTTAGATTTAGTCCTTGAATATTCAAACAATGCAAATCTCTAATATGAAAAATGGCGAGTACAAAACGGGTTGGAGCTAATAAAATAACTATTTGATGTAGATTTCATCTCTTGTTTAGTTATAAAAATGTTAATCAAATATGATGAAGTCCTCTAAAAGTTAAACTGCTAACGAATAACTTGTATATAAACTTTCCTAAAATTTATATTGCTTCCGTATTACATACATGTAAAGTTCACTAAAACATAATTTTACAATGTAACTAATATTTTTTTAAATTAAAATATAATTTTTAAAATTAAAACTCTGCATATTTGGTATTACTTATAGTTATATATTACATATACAAAATACTCATTAAAGGAGTATTTTTAATGAGTATATTAATTTTCATAATTACGAAATTTGCCTATTGTAATCTTTATTTGTAGTTAATAAATAAAATTTATAGAAAATAAAATTATTTCGAAACAAAGATATTTAATTTAAATTAAATCCTACAATATTATCAATTTTGTAAACAACGTTCGAAATAATATACACTTAGTATAAAACTAATTTACCACGTTGACTGGTAAAAAACTCGATATTTTAATATAATCACGCCTTTGACGAAAACTGCCAAAGAACTAAGTTTGGTGACCACAAAATTAATAAACCAATATCGTAATAACAGTAGTTATGATTTAATAGACGAATAGTTTATGGAATTTCTATACAAAATGATTGATTATGATTATATCAATAACAAAGATGTATGTACTCATATATTATATGAATACACCTAGTATGTAGAATGTATGTTAGTTATTACTTATTATTCGAGTTTGCAATTAATTTTAAAGCAATTTAATTTGCGAGAGTTATAATCAAATAAAAATATTTTTATATCAGAGAAATTGAACAAGTATCTTGATATTTTGTAACCCAAACGTGAAATTAAGTAAACTTTTATGGCTTTGACTATCTCTTATTATATCCTAAGGTACTGCGTGTTTGGCTAGTCAATAATTTTATAAAAATTTAAATTGAATAAATGAAATGATAAATTTCACCTAATAAATTATTCTTTATCTAATATAGGTGGATAGTTAAAAATATTTATGAAATTCGAAGACATGATGTATAAAATTTGCTGATATATAATTGAACAATCAAGTGACACACTATGTGTTTATTTATTAATTTTTTTCATGAAAATATTTGATGAATCTATTTAAAAAATTTTCATAAAAATGGAAAAGGTTAGTTATAATGTTGATTGCAGATGTGATGAATATGTAAGTTGAAATTTGGGTTATTTCCTATATTCCTAATTATTTCTGTTATAATTTATAATGTTTACAACTAAACATTTACTAATTATTATTTACTCATAACAATTTTCAAATTTTTTATGTTTGGACCTTATAATTCATTTGATAATATAGCACTAATAGCCTCTTCGTTATTTTAAATACTACCCTAACATCTGCTCTACACATTAAACACTAGTAGTAAAATTTCGTATTTTTGTATTACGATAACTGTCTATTATTTATCAAATAGTTAAGATTATTGATAAATAGTTGTCTACAAATAATGTTTTTAACTTTATAAGAATTATTTGAATCTATTTGTACTATTAAACTCATTTTTAGCTTCGATGCGAAGCTGAAAAGGTATTGGTTTTACTAAGATGTGTTTATTTTTTTTTTTTTTTTTTTTTTTTTCTGTTACCACTTTTTCTCAGCTCTCACCGAACGGATTTCTTTCAATGATACGTCAAAAGATCACAAATCGTATCTAGTCGAAGACATTACCCTTAAAAATTGAAAAAAATTCCCTCGTTCCCCGTAAAAGGGGGAAACCTCCAAAAAAATTACAAATTTAAAAATCGCTAATTTTCGAAATTTTTTCAATTTTTTTTACTTAAAAGTGCCATAACTTTTTCAAAAATAAACATATCAATATAATTCTTTTTTATATAGATGCATAATATCATTACCTTTCATTTGGTATATTTTTTTCATAAATTTAACCCTTAACCTGCCCACATGGGGGAATTTAAAATGACAACTTTTTCACAAAAAATTAATTTTTTTAACTTAAATTTTGAAAATGTTCCGGAAGTCTGACACTTTTATATATAAACTTAAATTAAAACTAATGTAATATACTTTATAATGGTAAAAAAAAATTTCGGATTTTATCTTATCTTCATGGTGAAAATGGCTACCAAATGCTATTTTTGTGTGAAAATTTTCGATTTTGTATTTTACATTTTTAACTTTATTATGCTATAACTTTTTGAAAAATGTATGGATCATTACAATTTTTTTATGACAAGTAGTATTTATATAGATCTTTCAGTCGACATACTTTTTTTTTAAATCGGACCATTTTCCTTAATACAGGGGGGATTCAAAACATGAAAATGCATATAGAAAGTAGAACTTTTTCAACTTAACTTTTGAAAGTGTTCCGGAAGGTCTGACACTTTTATATATATCTTAAATTAAAGCTAATGTAATATACTTTATAATGGTAAAAAAAAATTTCGGACTTTATTTTATCTTCAAGGTGAAAATGGCTACCAAATGCTATTATTGTGTGAAAATTCTCAATTTTATTTTTTACATTTTTAACATTATAATGCTATAACTTATTGAAAAGTGTATTGATCAATATAATTTTTTTATGGGAAATACTATTTTTTAATAATCCCTTTTTCATTCGACATACTTTATCTTAATCAGGATATTAATAAGGAACTAGCAGTTTATGAAGCTTTTGGAATAATCCACCAATTTTTTAAAATTAAACACTATCTAAAGATTTGCATCGAAGCGTTTTTTTTTGATAGTGATTTTAATCACTGTCAGATATCATTATACTTGATCCAACTATGCCACGTCACCACTGTGCCGCGACCCCCCCTGTGCTGGGTTTTTTATAAATTCAATTATATTTTTGAAAATTGTAGAAAATATAAGACTGTAAATACAAGTTTAATTATAATTAAATATATATTTACTGTATATATTTCATTTAATTATTGTTGAAATAATTTTGATTATTATTAGCATTATCTAAGAATTGCTCAACATACTATTTGATTTATGTTTTATTCATTACCATAGAAACGAATTTATTTTGTTGGTTACTTAAAAATGACATGAAATTAAGTTTTTAAGTAGGCAATATTATAACGTATAAATAATTTATACTAAATTTTTCTATTTTTAGCAGTCATAAAAAATCCTCATGAGTTTTTAAAAATATAAATAAATATTTAGTTATAGATTGCTTATGAGTATACCTTAAGGAATTATTTATTTAATATCTATAATTTTTGTTGATAATCAACAAAAAAAAGTAAAATAAAAACACTATTTAATTATTTTGTTCGATTTTTAATTAATATACTCTAATTTTTTTGTTTTAGTTTTAATCATAAAATAAGAATACCACTAATAATATACTAATGATTTTTTAAGTTTTGAAGTTAATTGGTCAAATCACTAATAAATTATCAAATATCTAATTATACATTATTAGTATCAATCGTAAGTTTATAATAGAATACCTATTACTGTCATGTATTTTTTGTTATCTTTAATGCGTATCTATGAGAGTATAAATTGTATTATGTCGGTTTTATTTTGTGTCTGTCCATATGAATACTCCTTGATTATTGAACACTACATTCGAAATAATTTTTTTAAAACTTAATGGATCATTACAAATTTTTTTAATTTGTACTGCTGGCAGCATACGTTTTTGGATATTAAACATTAACCAAAGATTTGGGAGGGTGAGTTTAATAAACTCAAAAATTTTTTTTTTTCAATTTTTCATAATGTTTCAAAGAACAAGCGTCCTTATAACTCATGTCAAATTAAAAGTAATACAATATCCTTTAAGATAAAATATAAAAAACTGTCCGTACATTTAATTTCTAGAAGTTCATTGACCAATTAGTGCAAAAAGTACACAATTTTCGATAATCTACGTTATTCAAAACTAAATCAAATAAAATTTAATGTTAACCGTATGATTAAAAAAAGAAAAACTTTCTAACTAATTTTCTTTTTTGAGTAATTGACAATTAAAGTAAAAAATGATGAAATTTCCGTTAGAATTTTATTTTTTTTCTATTACATTTTAAAATAATTACCAATGTCAAAAAAAAATTACTAGTAATATTTATTTAATTTTTATATTATAAAAATCTATGTATAACCTTAGAACAAGAAATGCTTTCTTTTTTTCTTTGCGACCTTAAACCTAGGGATATCAAATTATATGCTTTAAAGTTTACTTAAGGTATAACAAAAGAATAGTATATTAAAAATTTTTTTTCGTTATATAACAGGCGGCTATAGACATAAGTTGTAAAATTTTTAATTTTTTTTTTGTCTTAATAAATAGTCACATTGAAGCGTTTAATAAAAGTGATGTTAATCGCTATCAAATTTCAGTGTAAACTGTAATCTGCTATACCATATCCCAACTATACTGTAACACAGTACCGTGTTTCCCTCAGCCGCATATCACGTTATCAATCTATATAAAAGTGTACGGAAATTGAATCATACGTGCACGTTGGTCTAGTGGTAATATTTGTCTCTACGACATCTTGGGTCACGGCTTCAAATCTCATACCGTGCTTCTTTTGTTCAAACGATTTTTGTTACTCTTTCTATTATCGACCGTGTTAACTGATTTCTGACTTTATTGGCCATTTTTATTCATTGTTATGTAAAATAATATAAAACAAAAAATAGAATTTTCATAATGATTTTTTATCCCTCTGAACACTATATGGCTTACCTTAAGTCAGCTTTGGATTTAATATAGTTAGGCTACTAATATCTAATTTTGTTTGTCAATAAAAATAATCAAAATGTATTGTTAATAATAAAAGAAAATAGTGCGTGATTTTTGTTTAAAAAAACAATTTTTTTGATAAATAATTACAAAGTCTCTATTCATTCTATTAAAAGAAAGACTTCTCAGACTCTGTAAATTCTACCAAATTCCTATTAAACTTTCCTATTCGGAAGCAACTTCAAGTGTGGAGAGACGTTTTTTAATTACATATCTTAAGCGTACAATTTCAACTATTATAAATTTTAGACACTTGGATGTGTTTAAAGCTTAAAATATGTATTTCTGATACAATCATATAATGCAGTTTAACTATATTTAACGGCGCTTAGGTCGTTTCTCTAATAAATTTTTTTAAAAATCTGCATAACAAATATAAAATTAAATAAAAAGAATACCGGTAATGTCTCAAGTGACTTTGTCCTTGCGGCGTCATGATTACGCATAAGCTGAGCACAAGTCTTTCAAGGTCTGTTGGTCGCATTCCACGGCGGTTCGTTTGCCTAAAACGATCTATTGCCCCGGTCATTATACGCCTAAAATATGGATGCTGCAACGACCATTACAATATCATTATAATACAGTTTTTTTATTATACAATCATTTCTCATGATTCGACCCACCACCAGGAAGACAACCGTCATAAGGTGTATGCGTTCACTTGCAGTATCAGTACGGCAGGATCACCAAGAGCTTTGTCCACGCTATGGTTTTATGTTTTAATAATAATAATAAAATTAAAAAATTTCTCATACTATTATTATTATATATATATATATGTTTAATATATTCCAAATGGTTTTTAAATTATTTACTGATCATTTTTGTGAACGGATTGATGTTCAAACGTATAGTTCGTGATATTCATTTGATTAGTTTGGTCCAATATAACTAATAAAATGCTCGTCGAGACAGTGTCGGATGCACATGTACACTTTCATTATTCAGCCAGAAAGTTCAGGGATGTGCTTTTAGCTAATATATTAGCGAGCCAAAACAAAAACGACCAGGTACTCGTTTATTTTTATCATGAACTTTACATTTCTAAGTATATTCAGTCTTACGATGATTTGAATAAATTCATTATAACATGGTATAACGGAGTTATATCAAACATGTATGTGAAATTTGGATATATTTCTTTAAGAATGTAGAGTAGTAAAATTTGAATAAAATTGTAAAATTTAATAATTTAACCGATTATCTTATTTAAGTATTGTGTTTTTTAAAATAATAATTTGTATTTTTAGCTAATATATTTTTAAACGAATTAATTTTTATACTATTTAAGTTTTAACACTACCATCTGTAAATTGTATGATTGACTTTTGTGAATGGTGACCAATTTCTTAAAAATATTAAAATGAGTAATAATGTTATATACAAAAAATCATTTAATAAATTTGGTAATCCATTTTAGATAGATTTTTAAAATTTGATTCGAGTAAACTAACGATACAGCATAGCATTATTTTATAATCTGTAAAATAAAAATAATTTTTAATTTCAAAAGTTTCTATAAAAATAATGTTTAATATAAATTTGTTTAGCTTCGATGCAAAGCTGAGGAGGTATAAATCGTACTAATATTTGTGCTGTAAAAAATTAGGAAATTTAATACTGAAGAAATTTTTGAGAAATTTCGGATAAGTTGACATTTTTATATACTATTTTCTTTATTTAATCATCTCTATTATTTTTAAATAATTGTGAATAATTTTCAATCATACATCATTATAATTTTTGCTCTATTTTCGCTTAGATATAAAATTATCTCACCAGCAGTCTATTGTTTTTAAATGGAAATTACTTATTGTTCCTTCGATATTTTTTAGTAGATATTAAATATTTACAAATGGAAAAATGAATACAATTATTTATAAAGACCAACATTTTACATATTTTGACTTAAGCCGCCTATTATATAAATAAGAAAAGTTTTTAGAGCGTTTTTCTTTTTTGTACCTTAAGTACATTTTAAAATATTTAATTTGGTTTAGGTTTAGGACTGCAAATAATTCGGAACATTATTAATAAAAAAGATATTTGATAGAAAAATTAACTTAACTGTCAATAATGTTGTTAGGCGTCTCCGGTAATCTGTCTTGTATCACATTTTGTTACTTGTTAAACTAGCTGAATTAGATAACCAATAACAATTGTAGAATACAGTTATAATAGTAGTATACTTCTATTTGGCAACATCAATTTCAACAAGTGTAAAATTTGTTTCTCGTGCAGTATAAATTAGTAATTCTTATTTTGAACTATTAGTTTTTTTTCTTTTGTTGTGTATATAGTTACGCCAGTTGCAAAATACTTCCGAATATAACTGTTTGGTATTACTACTCCTTTCTTATAATAGAAAAAAAATCAAATCAAATAGTTCATCATGCTTAAATTTCGGAACAAAAAGGAACAATCTAAAATTCTTTGGGTACTGTACTCTGTTAATGGTATCACTTTTAAAAATAATTTATATCAATATTTATATAATAATTCCAGTTATATTAAATTAATATTTACATATTTGCTAACGATTTCAGAATTATTAGTTGTGATTCAATCTAAAAATGTATAATAGATTCAATTTTTTAATGGGTTTTAAACATTTTCAATCGTAGATGAGAAAAAATATCTAACTGTAAATATATTCAACAGTTATTGAAGTGTTTTTAGATTTTTATATGGTGTTTTTATGTCATTATACCATAATAAAATATAGATTTGAAAATCTATGTTTACTTTGTAAAAATATTTTATAAATCCAATTGTTATTCGTCTAAGCAAATTAAATATAATTTTTGGGAATTTTAAAAAAATAATAAAGTTTTGAAAATTTTATTATTAGTTAACTTTAATGTATAAAAATAACTTTGAAAGATAAAATCGGAACTATTATTTTGAAGTTACTTGGTTATGGTATCAACAGAACTTAATAAATGTATGGTAAAAAAATAACAGTTATTGTAAAAATAGTTGAATAAAATGAACTTTTATGTTTTAACTAATTTATTGATATATAATAGATATTATTTTTTATGGTTATTTAATTCATAGATTTTATTTAAACAGAAATTGCTTTAGTAATTTTTATTTTTACTAGTCATATGTTATAACGTGAACTCAGTTAATTATTTCTCGTATAAACTAAAAGCTATATTGATTAATATAAGGTATTAGATAACAATGTACAGTGATGAATTCATGCGTAAATGTTACAATTACTGCTTTTTAACAGTGCTTGGTTATTATTGTTTTAACCCTCTATTTTTTAAACTATTGCTTATAGGTAAATAAAGAAGGAAAAGCTTCTAAAGCAGGAATTCAAGAAGAATATCTTATTGATACAATAAACTCGGTTCCTGTCAATCATCTTACCTGTAGTGAAGCTCAAACTTTGATAGAAAATTCAGGTGATATGATTTCTCTTGGTATATTTAGGTAAGTTCAAATATTAATATAATTTAATTTAATTCAAGTAGCTACATAAAACTACATAAAATATATTTATAAAGTTAATATACTTGTATTTTTTATAAATTTATGATATAATAGAAAATAAAAATTGAATGAATAATAACATTTTAAATAAATGACTTAAAATAATTATGATTTTGATATATTTACTATGACAGTTCTATGAAAAAGTGGTTTGATAAGAAATTTTTGAAAATTAATTTCTTTTATAAACTTCACAAATTTTGTACAACACATATTTTATGCAAAATATAATAATAAAATCATCATTTTTAAAGTTATAAATTTTACAAAAAAAGGTTTGAAATGGTATGGTTATGAAAAATAATTTTTTGAAACACCTCGTTCCTAAGGAATTTTATAAGATTGTGTTTAATTATGTTATTAATCGAACACAATTTAACGCCTGAGCAAACTATAAATGCAACCTATATCACATATTTTTATTCAAAATCTGTATTTATAAGTTTATAAAAATATTATATAACTTTTTATTACACTAAATTTAAACTATGACACACAATTTTATCTTTTTATGTAATATTAATTTTAACTTCTGAAACTGAGAAGGTATTAATTTTACCATGATGTGTTTATATTTTTTTTATTTATTTATTTATTTTTTACGTATCTGTCACTACTTTTTCTTAGCTCTCACTGGAACGATTTTCTCAACGATACGTTAAAAGATTACATATCGTATCTAGTTAAAGACATTACCCTCATAAATTGAATATTTCTCCATAAACAGTGAAAATCCCCCAAAAAATGACCATTATTAAAATCGACAAATTTCGACATTTTTTTCATTATTTTTCTAAAAATTGTCATAACTTATTGAAAAATGAACAAATAAAAATAATTTTTTTTATTTTAAAACCATAGATATTTTTCTTTTATTTGAATTAATTTTTTGAAAATCTGTCCATAGAGGAGGATTCAAAATAGTAACTTTTGCACAAAAATTTTAATTTTTCAACTTTAGTTTCGAAAATGTTCCGGAAATACTCCAAACTTCACACTTATGTGAAAACAAAACTTTTGATATGTACTATATGTTCAAAAAAAAAATTTGTCCTGACAACTTATCTTCTATGAGAAAATGGTTGTCGTAGAAAAAAAATATGTAATTTTGGTATTAAAATTTACGATTTCATATTTTATTTTTTCAACTTTAAATTACTATAACTATTTGAAAAATGTATGAATAAATACAATTATTTTTTCATAAATATTTTATGTTTACTTCTTACATTTGATTTACATTTTTTGAATATCTTACTTTTGATCGGTTTTCAACTCAATTTTTGAAAATTTTCCGGAAATATTGACACTTTTATTTAATCTTAATTTAAAGCTTATGTAATATACTATACTATGAAAAAAAAATTTCGAGATAGAGTGAACATGGTTATCATATTCAAAAATGTGCTATTTTTGTGTTAAAATTCGTGGTATTGTACTTTAATTTATTTTAATATAACTTATAATGGGGTACACTGATTTTCATGAATATTATATAAAACTAATTTACGTAGAATATAAAGTTAAACTTATTTCAATTTTTTTTTTTTTTTTGAGTCGAAAAAATTAGTTAATTAATTATTTGAATTAGTTTAAATTGCCAATTTTATCAAAAAACGAATGCGACGAACGTTTGCCTATTCAGTAAAAATCATTGCCTGTAGCAATAATTTTTTTGCAATTTTTCCTTAATTCTTTTTGAGTTAGAATTTCGCTTTTAGAATAATCCGCCATTTTTTTTATAATTAAACACTATCTACAGATTGCATAGGAGCTTTCTTATGATAGTGATTTTAATTACTGTCAGATATCATCTATACTTGCCCTAACTATGCCATATCCTCACTGTGCCGTGACCACACTATGCTGGGTTTTTTTAAATGTATTTTGAATTGATTATATTTTATATTATCGTTGTGTTATTTACCTTTAAAAACAAAATTAAAAGCTTTTAAAAATCAAAAATGAGTTAAAATAAATATTGTGAAATAAAAATATTGGTTAGAGTTATGATGATATAAGAAATAATAAGTATGTGTGAGTTATTTTTAAATTAAGAACAAAGAGTTTCAATTCTGTTCTTTTTTTTATAGCCTTTATTAACAATTCTGTTCTTGTTGATATTTATTTTATCAATGTGTACAAAATTTAATTAAATAGTTTAATATGAAATTTATAATTAGTCTTTAGAAAATGCAATATTAAGCAATGTTTGGATTTAAATCTATTATAAATTGGCTTTTAGCTATTAACAAATTATAAAATGATTTATTTACTAATATAAAAATAACTGTGACTATAAACGTCTTGTTTTAATAGCTATTCATTTTGACGATTTCATTGCTGTTAAAGAAAAAAGAAACTTTATAGAAAACCTTTATTTATAAATATGGTACGGTCATTAGTGAGTACTATGCTCTTATGTAAACAAAAATGTTTTAATTGTCCATATTAAAATGTTTAAAAATTTGTTATAAAATATCAATATTTCATAAATTCTACTGAATTATAAAAAAACTTAATTGAAATATCTTCTTTATTTTTACTACTACAAGATTATTTTTGTAGAGGAAAAAAAAGTTAAATAAAATGTTTTGTAAATTGTCAATGACCATTGAAAATTATTTCGGTTTGAGCCTCCCCTTAGAAAATCTTAGGTTCATCATTATTTTAAAGTTCTTTATTGTACATTGCATAAAACATTTTTTCATTAAATTTTCAGACAAAAATTTAAAAAACATTATTTTTTTATAATATGTTTATGTTTATAATTTCAAATATCAAAACGCCCAAAAAAATATAATTTTAATTTAATTGCATAAATCAAAATACTTTACTATACAAGTATGGACAATATGATTATTTTATTTTTAATACTGTATTTTACATGAAATATAATGATTAGAAGTCGTTAAAAAAAATACCAATTATTATGGATCGTCTTATAAGTTTGAACGATGTATTAGTATGTTAAATTTATATAATACCTTTATATTTTTTGTAATATAAAGTTTTAACTTATTAAAGTGACATTTACATACGTAAAGTTTCCAAGAATAAAAATTTTAAATGACATTGGGTGTCAACCAAATCGTTCTGGACGGTTAAGCCTTCACACCCATCCTGGATATTACAATGAAATCACTGTAGACATAATCAGTAATCATGATAAATTTCCATACTCTTTAGCATGGCACGCCCTATTGACCCTTAATATGGCCGTCAGCATTCGGAAAACGTTGTCACAATTCACACTACGTTACTAATCAAAATACACATTTTATAAATAAATTCAACTCATATAATCTCTAGATAATTAATTACTTATCAGCCCTGATTTTATTCAAATAGTATTTAGTAACGTGACAATTAAATAAAACTTCAAATATTGTTCGAGTATAATTTTTGTACTGTTTATTAACGGTAAAAAAAAGTATAAGATAAATAATAAATCTTAATACTTCCTATTATATAAACAATATTCCAAATTTTAGAAAATAATATCTAGCTTAATCAAATTAAAACGGACTCAAAGCGTTGTTATAGTATATTATAGATTCTCATTAGCACTTTTAAAATGATGTCCAATCTTTTAATTTAATGAATATTAGCATTAATAATAACTGTATTGATAACTAGTTAATTATCCTATTATTAATAGATTTACAATTAAGATAAAATGATGTTTTATATAAAACTTGGATATACAGTGACGGATATATGAGAGAGCACATAAGTCATCATCTAAATTACCGTCGCTTAATAAAAAAAAAATCTTTAAAAAATAAAATTGACAAAAAAAAGTGTTTTTTCACGACTAAAAATATTTATATCTCCTGTCTTAAGTAAAATATCTGGATCGGCGCCTTGAAGGAAATCACATCTTACAGTAGCATAACCACAAAATAATTAAAAAATGAATGAAAATTTCAATGAATTAAAATATGATTCAAAATAAAGTTTAATTTAATAATAATTTATTTTCATTGTTTGTCTTTTTAATAAAATTTGTACCTGTAGATTGTACCAAGTACAAATAAAATTGACTCGCCTAAAATAATATAGTAAGCCGATTTGAAACGAGGATGTACGGTGCCATGGTCATCTTTTAGTAGTATAATGTTCTGTATGAGTAGTTAACGTATGTTAATATAAACAAATAACATCACTATCATGAAAATTTACGCATGTTAGAAATTTAAAAAGTCCATGACATATTTTATATTGGCGAATATTACACATTTTTAACATGAGTTCAATATATTTTAGCTTCGATGCGAAGTGAGAAAGTATTAATTTTACTGTGTTTTATTTTATTTTATTTTTGTGTGTGTGAAATGTTTTCAATTTTTTTTACTTAAAATTGCCATAACTTTTTCAAAAATGAACAAAATCAGTATAATTTGTTTTTATAGATGCATGATTACTTTACCTATCATTTGGTATATTTTTTTTTTATAAATTTAATCCTTTATCTGACCACAGGGGGGGATTTAAAATGACATCTTTTTCACAAAAAATTAACTTTTTCAACTTAACTTTTGAAAGTGTTCTGGAAAGTCCGACACTTTTATATATATTTTAAATTAAAACTTATGTAATATACTATATAATAGAACAAAAAAATTTCGGACTTTATCTTCACGGTGAAAATGGCTACCGAATGCTTTTTTTGTGTGAAAATTCTCGATTTTGTATTTTACATTTTTAACTTTATTATGCTATAACTTTTTGAAAAATGTATGGATTAATACAATTTTTTCATGAGAAGTAGTATTTATATACAAATTTCATTGGACATACTTTTTTTTTAAATCGGATCATTTCCATTTATATATTTATATATTATAAATATATATTACATTTATAAAAAATAAAACTTGTAATCAGGATATAAATAAGGAAATAGGAGATCATGTAGCTTTTAGAATAATCCACCATTTTTTAAAAATTAAACACTATCTACAGATTTGCATCGTAGCGTTTTTTATGATAGTGATTTTAATCACTGTAAGATATCATTATACTTGATCCAACTATGCTATATACTGATTGTGCCGCAATCCCACTGTGCTGGGTTTTTTTTACTGTTTTTGTAAAAGAAGATAAATGAATGATTTTATGAACGAGATATCAAAGAAATATTCTATTAAACTGACTTCTTATATCTGATTTTAATTTTAATAGTAATTAACCATTGTAGGCCTGATCCATAATTGAGCACCCGGCATACAATTAACAGTGGGCTATTTTAGTTTTTAAAAAGAGGGCGGCAACATATAATTTTAAAGAAATACGTATTAACTAAATGTTAGCTCGTTGATTTACATTCTCTCTTATTTCACCATGCCTTAAAAATTACTGTATTTATCAGCTTTTAAGATTATTATTATTTTTTTTAATCAATCATTTCTTTTGTAGCATTTATTTAAATTAATATTTATTACCACATTAAAAATATAAGTTTATACATCGAATTATAAAAATTACTTTTAACTATTTTTAATAAATTTCTCTTTATATATTATAGATAATCTATATCATTCCACCATAAATTTATTTTTTATAGACAGTTTATTAATTTTATGATGTACATGAGAGATCAAATATTCATCTTGCTACTCTTAAAATAACAGCAATGAGCTCCTTATAATATTATTTAGAAATATGTTATTGAGAGCTTTGTTCATTTTTGATTGAGGGTTTCGTTCATCCATCTTGCTATTATAATCGTGGTAGCTAGAACAATCCTCAATGATGAGAGTTCTGACCCCTCAACCCTATAATTGCATCATTGTTCTACAAACATAGTTTTGGCATAAAAAAAAAATTTAATAGTGAAATTCAAACCTTTTCCATTAGTAAATATTTAAAGTAATTTTTAAATATTTGTATGTACCATGTTATCAATGATGAGAAAAGATTCCTACCATTTAATTAATATGCATACATATTTATAAATATGTTTTTTTTATATTCCCGCCTAACTTAAGAACTGTAAGCCTATATTTAATATTGAAGCCTGTAGAATCTAATATTGAATAATATCCAAGAGTCTTAGTGATAGCGAAACTGCAGTGTGGACCAAGGTGACACTATAATTAATTTTAACTATGCGAGATTGAGATCATTAAATAAATTCATTGGAACATTTATTATTATGGAAACAGAATCACTTTTTTTGTATATATTTAGTAATAAATTTTATGTAAGAAGAAGTATATTCCTAAATGTCCCATCATGTTTATTCTTATAGTCATGAAAAATTACAAATTATAGTAGTAATATTATATTATTTCAATAGTTTTTATTTAAAGAGATTAAAATGTCAGTTTTAATATATATATATATATATATATATTACTTTAAATTATAATAAAAATACTTATGAAGGATAAAATAACTTTTTCTCGAAATCAATGATTTTATACGTCATAAATCTTGTGAATAATAGCATATAATTAAATATGTTAAATATTTGAATAAAATAAATTACAAAAGTAATTTGATTTACTTTGATTCTTTCATAAAATCATGTAAAGAATACATCTTGATCATATATTGATTTTTTTACAAGTAATACTTCATGTTTTTTAGACCAACAATACGTGACGTTGTCGTGCAAAACGATAAACTTCCGATATTAGGTAAGTTTTTTCATTCAATTAAAAATATTATTTTTAAGCTAAAAAAAGGATTATTACTATTTTCTTCAATATATTCTTCAGGAATATTAGTAAAAAATGTATTAATTAACGGTCATTTAATAACATAATTAAATTAAATTAAATATATTAAGATTTATGTAAGATTATTGATACCATCGTGATCTTTTCGATTACTTTAATGTATAAAATCAAATTTCATTGGTCACTGATTTAATATTATTTTATGCTTAAATTGTTGTAAAAATCTTTACGTGTATTCTTTATCATAATTAGCTTTACCATAATTTACTTAAAATAAAATAAAACAATTTCAATATGGTTCCTTTGACAATGAAATTTTTTATTTACTTACATTTTATATAGGACATTTTATTAAATATTTTAGTAAGATTCTTAGGAAAAATCTAACATTATTGTAGCCGAATTTTTATAAAAATGTATTTGCTTTAATATCATCGACTACTCATTCGACCGTAACACCCCACCATAAATGCTGGACTTCTTAAGCATCGTCGTATTCCTTCAGACATTTTTTACCAATGAAAGAGAACAGTTTAGTGTATTGTACTTATTTTGTTTTACTGTATGAAATGCATATTTTGTTATTAAGTATTTGGTTAAATCCTTGGTTTTTTATTCATCATTCAATTAACAAAAATATTCAAATGCCTCTTTTTGAAATTAAGAAATCACGGTTGAAAGATAAATATCACAGACCAAATAAACTTAGAATGATAAAAGGTAAGAGATATATTAGTGATATTTTTGTTTATTAGAAAGTTAGATATAACTGGAATAATTTTAAACAGAGTTTATTTTTGACAGATTAAATATTCTTCAATAAAATAATTAAATCATAAACAATTTATTACAATTATATTAACTATTTTGTGATAAAAATAAAAAACATAAAATGGGAACGATATATTTTAACATTAGAAATTATAGATTTACTTTTTTTATTTATTAATTTTGTGTAATAATACTATACAATCTTATTTAAAATGAATAACTAGAAGTTAAATAAAGATATTTCACAAAAATAATAAAATACATAAAAAAAATGTTTAATAAATTTTACGAAAAATATAGGGAAAACTTATATAGTTAAGTAACATTTTTACCATTAACTTGACTTTCATTTTTTTAATTAATAATATTGTAATAAAGTTTCTATAAATGTTTAGCTTTAAAAATAAACCTTATACGTCACTCTACCCATAGGTGGTACTACACCCATCCTGTCCATAATTGCACGATTTGACTTGATAGCGTACCATTTCAAAATCCAAAATTATTGTCAGAATATAATTTAAAATGAAAGTTATTTATTAAAAATATATTTAAATGACTGTTAGCATATAGGGTGATTCATATATCATGAACCACTTAATTAATCGAAGAATAAAAATAATATTATACATTTTTTTTATTTAATCTTTTTAGTTTAATATTTATCTCAATTTTTCAATCATAAAGTCTTTTTTATGTTCATCTCTTATACTTTATATGACTTATTATTTATCATAAATAATCAGATTTATTTAGGATTTTATAGATTAACAGAGTGATTCATTTTTTATAAATTTCTAGATTCATAAAAATATAAAATTAATATAAAGAATTTTTTTCAATTTCATGTTTTTCTCAATTAATTAATCTTAAAGATTTTTTATGTTTATTACTTATAACTTACAAAGGCGTCAACTTTAATTTCTCAAACAACAACACCCCTAATTAACTAGCTTATTTAATAGATAATGATATAATAAATAAAATGACTGGTCGATGACAACTTTTGGACCAGTATATCGGAAGTTGATAACAATTTAAAATATAGATTGGACGTGAAATGCGATTGCTGCTATTTTTATAACTAAAAATTTCCCAATCATATTCTTTTTCTCATCTAGATTTAAACATATAAATAACTTCCGAAATACTGGTCCAAAAGTTGTTATCGGCCCGTCATTTTCATGACATACAGAAAGAATTTATTGAATATTAATCATATATACTTTTATTAAGTAATTATTTAATAAAGGTTACAAAAATAGAATTGTTTTTATATTGTTCTACAAAAATAAGTTATTATTATTGTATATTATATAAACCATACAAAAATAAGATATACATAACATATGTAAATATTAATTGATCTAATATTTTTTACATTTTTAATTACGACTTAAATAAAATATAATATAAATATTAGCCACCCTACGAACATGTGTTGACCTGTGTTTATTCATCTGTCATCGTTTTCATTGTACGCATGTGTCAAACTAAAACATACACATATTTTAATGACTATTGTGTATGTATTTCAATAATGAGTTCGTGTGTGTTAACCCATCTCCGGTTTTGGATGTTAAATGTAACTTCCTCTATTCGGGTGTGCCCTTACTAATCTGTGCTCATATAGCGGATCTGCTACATTCAGTCGATGATGCCTAACAGCAATGAACAAACACTACTTACCTAAAGCCTCATGAACAACTATTTAACTTATAATTTAATTAATCATTAATATTATAGTACTAAAATCTTAGTATAATTTCATTGGTTTTAATTATAGAAATAAAGTCAGTTGAGAATATTAATAAAACCACTAATCCAAGAGAAGAACACATAGCTAATAAAAAAAGTAAGAGTTTAATATTTTTATTTATTAAATAAGTATCATTTTACTCATTTACTATTAAATAATGTTTATTAAATTATAACTCTTAAAATACAAAAGATATAACATTATTTTAGCTCATAATGTAAACATAAAATTACTTAAATGTTTAAGTAGTTAAGTTAGGAATTGTGTTTTTAATGTATTATACAATGGACAGGAGTTGTAATTTAAATAGTATTAACCAGGTAAAAGAGTTCGAAAACGTAGGAAAAAAAAGAAACAAACCCTAGCATCAGAAAATTTGTTATTACCGGTCCTTCCAGTAAAAGTTATTGATTCTGAAATCCAGAGTCCGAGAATAGAAATTTTTTGTGCAACTCCTAATGTTCAAGTTGATGAACTCGAATGGATCAAGAAAAATGAAGCTCTTTTAATATCTGAACTAGAAACCCGGAGATTAGCCGGTTCACCTGTACAAGTAGTTGTTAGAGTTGAAAAAATTGTATCATTACGTCCAGAGTACTGTGAAATTTTATCAGACAGTTGCCATTTAGACGTTATTAAAGAAGATACAAGTAATAGTGACGAAGGTTCTGAGAGCAAAAGTATTGCAAACCACCATGGAAGTTTATCAGAAATACTCAAAAATTCAAAATTAGAAAAAGGAAATGTAATTAAGTCTTTGGTGGTCAATAAACAAAACCAGAACAATAAACTTGACTTAGAAAAACTTGAATCACCTTCGTTAGTAAAAAAATCTGATACATCTCAATTAATGGATACAGATTTTTCAGCTAAAACTATATCACCAACTTTAATTGAAGTTTCTGAAAAAGTAAAAAATATTTCATCTGATGAAGAAACCATAAAAGAAATCGAATGTGCTAATAAAGAATTAACACATAACATATCAAACTGTTCTACAATTAATATTGTTCAAACAATTCTAAATAATAACAATTATGATATGAAAAACTATAATATTGATTTAAAAAATTGTGAAAATGTAGAAGATGTTAAAGACGAATATGATAACTATAATGAAGAACAACAACGAATAATTTCAGAAATATTTACAGAAAAAGAACCAATTAGCGAAAAATCCTGTAATAAACAATCGATTTTATCTAAAAACATTTATATTCCAAATAAAGACCTCAACACCGAATACAAATTTAATAGATCACAATATATAAACTTCAATCAACACGTTAATTCAAATTATCGCAAGAAACATCTCGAACAAAATTTGCAATACTCTTCAGACGATAGTACTATTAAAGAAAATGAAGTAGAATTTATTCGAGAAAAATCATTGAAGATGAAATTTGGTAATCAACATGGGCATTTAGGAACCGAGACAATATATGACAAACTCAAACGTGTAGCACTTTTAATCCAGTCAGAGGATACTGATGATTACGAGGATATTTCTTATAGAACTAATTCAGGAGGTGGGATTTCCGATGTGGATACCGATATTGATTGGATGAGTTATACAATGTCCGATAATGGAGAAACATCTAAGTCATTGTGTTTGTCACCTAGTCAACAGTACCGTGCTCCCTCAAATGCATCTGAAGCGTCTGATATTATAGAACTACACAAAATATTTACTGGTAGAGCAAAAAGTCCGAACCATAATCGACCAACTTTTGAATCTATTGTAGATATTCTAGGCCAGGTTGAATCTACAAAATCACTAGTAAATTACAGCTCTCAAGTTATAGATATGGCTTGCCAGTTGTGTGGTATCAGTGATGAGCCATTGTTGGACGCTCATCGTCTTTTATCTCTATGTAAATACCATGATACCCGATCAAGCAGATTATTGAATGCGGTCCAACAGGAGTACCGACGATCTGATCGATCAGCGCCCGTAACAGTATCAACCGATCGACTGCCTGTGATCACTAATAATAATAGTTGCAACGATAATAATATGTTTATTGACACGTTTTCGGTGCCGGATAACCGCACACGAGAGCTCATGTATGCTGAGTATATGGAAAAAGTTAAGGAAAGAGAGAACCGTCTCAACAACAAAGTCATACGAATAACTAAACCCGGTAGACCTTTATCATCGTCATCTTATGGATCTCAATTAGACGTTGACACCGAATTTGTAACCAAAGCCAGAGAGAGGCTAGAGAAACTAGGTGTGGACACAACTGACGTAATGTTTGTGGAAACAAGAAATGACAGTCAAAATGATGAGTACCCAAAGCACCTTGTAGACATTGTTCCTGAAGATGAGGTTTGCATTGAAGAAGTGAAACTGAATGGTGAGTCCAGTGAATCATAGTGTGTGCGTGGGAGTAGTGTGTATTTATGCATTTTTTTTTTTAATGTAGTTTTTGTTTTACTAACATTGTGGATTTTGCATTGCAGCCAAATCGTTTCTTTGGACAGTAGTTAGTTGTGGCGGAAGTAACTAAAATAACCAAAAGAATGTCCATCATTCAGGATACCTTAATTTTTTGTTTACATTTATGACCCAGCGTCATCTGTCACTTGAACAGTTGATACAATTTGCCCAAGAGGGCGCGAACATGCATATATGTATATACACACGCACTCCATTGGCGCGCACTATTTTTACTAACGGTATATGAGACACGTTGGTCGTCGACTGGACAGACCAAATTGTGATTCTATAATTATAACACGCTAAAGAGGTGAGACGAAACCAAAGACGATATTCTTCTCATATTATATCAAAAAAATAGTTCTTAATTTTCTTTCATTATATTATTATACGATTAATAATCTGAGCTTAATTATCCAAATTATGAAGTTGTAATCAAATGAATAAACTATAGCATTGTATTTTCCCTTAATAGTTACAACTAATGCAGGTAAAAAAGAAAGACAAAGAACGTCTTCAGACTCTACTCTCTATGACGAAATCGATCAGGTTTTTGGTGGATATTTATCTAGAAGAAGCATAGGTTCGTTTTTTGCATGCTAAGTATTGTCTGTGTGCATGTTTTGTAAAAATCATTCAAAGCGAAAATTGTATATTTTTTTTTGACATAAATAATGTTTGAGTAGAACCCTCCTACCAAATTAATCATTTTATTTCATTATGGAAAATGCAAAAAGAAATACCCCATATTCTAAAGATCATATGCGCAATGTCCTTTGTTTATATAAAATACTGAAATAAGTTTATTATTTGTCAATTTATTTAAAAATATAAATTCTCATTAAAAAAATAAGAACGTTAAAGTCTCAAATCCTATCGCTGATGATAACATAACTGCAATTCCCTTATATGTGTAGTAAAATATTAAAATTTTTAACGGTTTGACAATTTATTTTTAATAATTATTTACAAAGATTTTATAAGTAATATATCTTAATAGAATACAATTTTCTTATTAAAATATAATTAGTAACAAAATTATTTAGAATTATCCACAAAATAAACAAATGTTTTAATAATATTTCATAGATTTATTATTATTAACCAAAATTAAGAATAGCTGATGAACATTAAGTTTAGAAAATAATATATCTTTGTCATAAGATGCGTAAATAAAAAAAACTGAAGTAAGAAACTTACCAATCTATAGATAGATTTATTGGTTACACATAATTCTCACTGTCAAGTACAAAATGGAAATAACGCTGCTTTTGTAAACCAAAACAACTACAAAGTTCAGTTATGTGTATATGAAGGAAATAACCATTATTCGTAAGGATGTTAATTTTTGGAGTCCAATAATAGAACAATTAATTTTCATAGTTTTTAGAATTCATTCTCTTTGTAACTTTTTTAAATTGAGAAATTGTATTTTGATATTAAAAATATGTTCAAGTTTGATCTTATAAGTTTCCGGTAAATCTAATTATATAACAGGTACAGCTATAATGTCGGACGCAGTCAAGAGCTTCAAAGATCATTAGCCAATATTTTTTTTCATTATTTTTTTTTTATATAGTATATTTTTGTGTCCATTTCTACTCCCACCTAAACGCGACTAGTGCAGAGTTTCCCGCGATATAAAAAAATATACTTTCAACACATACGCCGTTTAAACGGATGCCGAATCGCGCGCGTGGCGAAAACTCAAGTAGTCTTCTACAAACTAAAAGTTTAGATTTTTATGCGATCTTAACAATATTTGTTCTGTCATTTTGTATTTTATTACTAAATCCGTTGAACGAATGTGTCAATGATGCGCAATCAAAGTAAAATAGGTCCGAATTTCAAAGCGGATATTAAAAAAGCAGGTTTGTTATATTTTAATAACGAAATATATGCTATTCATTAATATTCTTTATAGTAATTAAAATTAATAAAAAGTCTTTCTTAAAATTACATAATTTAGAAAAAATTTAATATTTCCAATTAATATCAGCAATAAAACGCTTTTTAAAAAGTTTACACTTTTGTAAAAATTATGATTTTTCTAAAATTTTCTATAACTTGTTTGCATAAGGAAATGCTTATATCTTTTTTTTGTTCATTTTACTCTTATACTAAAACAAAAAAATATTAATTTTTATTTCAGTTATTTAAAATATTAATTTCAATAAACTGCTATTTTACCATTTTTATGATGAACAATTATTTTTAAAGACGATGACAAGATCAATGATGATAATTTATAATGATTATAGTAATTCTGCTTATATGTCGTTACAAATTCTTTGTATAATTAATAAATAACGGAATAATAGCATAATATTTTTGTTACTAATAAAATTGTATGCAATGTCTAGAACAGATTTTTAAAAAAATTGTTCCAACAAAATAGTTATTACCAAACAAATGGCCTTGAGAGCAACGCGCTTATAATTGTTTAACGATAATCTATGCCCTACAAAATTTCATTAATTGATTTCTATTTTTAACTGATAATTTATTGCACACTTCTTATGAAAACTATTATAATAGAAAGAATGCAAGCGTACTATCAAAATATCAGAATTTATAGACTTTATAACATTTTAATAGTGGTTGAATGACAGTATACTTATTTGTTTTATTAGTATTCTAATCAAATTTTGTTCGGTATTCCTATTAAATTAAAGGTTGGTAATACTATACCGTTCACAAAAATTATAAAGATTATTTGTTATAAGAATTTTATGATCTCCCTCTTCCTCTTTAATCATTCCAGCGAAACAATAAATTACACAAATTTACACATACATAAATAAAAACCTGAAAATATTCAGTAATGCCAAAGTACAAACAGCTTGCCAGGATATCAAACTATCAATAATAATAGTATGACGGTTATGTTGTAGTGATGTCAACGGCCGTTGATTATTTGGACATTTTGAATTTGTGGCCCTATTATAAAAAGACTACACAATTATAATAATTTTATTATTATAGGCTTTTCTATATCGAAATATATGTTTTAATACATTACTCATCATGTGTATACACATATATGAACTGTATAGTAGAAACTTTATCACAACATCTGGCACTAGTCCGGCACTTTGACTGACTGCCAACATGTATTTATTTTTTTCCATTTGCGCATATGTCTGACTACAATATATTTATTTTTCTTTTTCTAAATTCAAAACTCAGTTATTCAGTTATTATTTTATGCCGTTCACCTACTAAAGCTATATTGATTTTTTTCGCGCGTGTTTTCTTATAGACTAAACTAAATCTGAAAGGATTTTCAAAAAAATGTTTAGTTGAATAAAATAATAATTTTATAATACTGGAATTTGTGCTAACTACAAGTTAAAACATTAACTACAATTTTTTATACAAAATCTAAATGATGAATTATACCATAAAAGTATCCATTCTTAATACTGCATTCAAAAATAAAATTTGAATGTATGATTTTAGTAAATTTAAGAAATAAATTAAAAAATATGCAATTGATTTTTATAAAAGATTCGGACTACCAATATTGTTCAATTTGAAAATAACTCGCTTATGTGATTAATAGATGTAAATTTACAATTATTAACAAAGAGTAATGATAATGTAATGGCAATGTAGCTTCATTTTTTTTAATATTTTGAACATCTTATGATTTTTCTTTAATAATTATTACCGATTATAATTGGTAATTCAACAGACATCTGTAACACAAATACGTATAAACAGTTTAACTTACGAACACTTTTGTGTAAAATTATCTGTTTCTTAGGTATGTGTTTGTTTTTGTTGACTTGATAGTTGAAAAATAATCTTACATGACATTATCATTGAATATTTATTGTATATTAAAATATTCGTGTGATAATTTTTTTAGTATAACCAGTGCATTTGTGTGATTATATTGTATTTGTTTTAATTGTATTATTGTATTTTTATTAAATTCGCGAGGGATGAACATATTATACATCTGAGTGCTTGGCTATCTCATGCCCACAATGAACAACTTAAACTAACTAAACTAAAATTACGTTTATATTGTATTGTTATTTTACGACGTTTGTTTAGGTGTTTGGTCACCAGAAGTAAAACACAAACCGTTAGATTTAGAAAGTATCTCTAATAGGAGACCTGAGAAAAAACCGTTAATCCCATCATCGGAACTACCTTCAGTATGGACTCCAAATTCCAGTCCAGTTCCCGAAAGAAAGTCCTATAAACCAGTAAAATTTGAATCACCAACTTTATCCAGAAAGTCAATTAACAAAGACGTTCAAAAAGTATAATAAAAAAAAAAATTACAGAGCATTTTACTCTTAAATTTTACTTTTTTGTTAGACACCATCAAAACCACCAACAAATTTACCAGTGTTAAGTTCTCCACCTCCCACGCCATCTCCATTATTTACACATAAATTACAAGGTAAAAACAAAAATATTCACTAAAGGACAATTTGTTTACATTTAATACTTATAATATATATTTTAAATTTCACGATAAAAGGTGATGCTAATGCAAATAGTACAGAGAGGAGACTTCCTAGAGTTCAAAGTCCCACCGTGACTCTTCTTCAAAAAGCAAGAGGTATCAAATTTATAATTCAATTTCCTATAACAATATATACGTTTTATTCATACAAATAAAATAAACGTATAAATTCCAATAGAAATATATTATAACTATAACTTGTAATATTATTCATAAATTATCCTATTGCATTTTTATGTAAAATCGTACATTAAATCTAACTAAAAATTATAAACGAATATATTTTTGATAATAATATTTCAAATTTAGCTTCTAATATCTAAAATGATAAAAAAATGTATTAATCATGCTATTATAATATCTACTAGTTTTGAATCCATCAATGGCGTAATTATTATTTCGCCTTGGAAATTTTCACTTCCCCTCCAAACGAAAAAAAAAATTATCTTCGACGTGTAATTAGTTTTTTAATGGGGTGAATATAACACTCATGACCCCTTTGTTTACGCCAGTGCAATCTATTGTCTTTACTGTAATTTAATTTTTTTATAGAAGGACAACTACCCCGGGGTTCAGCATACCTTGAATCAGAGGAAACAGTCATGAATAAAGAAAATAAAAATAGAGGTTCTTCTAGTAAACGCAATGTTGATCCTAATAATTTAAGTAAGATTATTAATAGTTGTAATATAAAAACTATTACTAGCGTAGTCTACGATGTTTTGACAAATAAAATAACTTTTAATCCAAAAAATATTTTGTCATTCATTTATTTTTATATTTTATACTTTTAGACTATGTTAAAACCATATATTTATAATTTGTGCCTAATGAGCAAAAAAATATATATTATTTTTTAGTTTTTGTACATTTTTTTTTTAAATTTTAAAATGGCCATTTTTTATAAAAAATCTTAATGAATATCTTTAGAATAAGTATTTAGTGAGTTACAAGCATTTGAATACATAAAGTGAGTATGTAACGGGTATCGAATATGTAATATAAACGTACGATTTGTTACATCCATGTTACAAACACACTTTATGTTTTAAAATTCTAGCTATTATAGTTGTTAGCGAACCAACAGCATTTTTTTTATAAGAAAATGACTATTTTAAAATTTTGTAGAAAATAAAATTGAAGTATGATAGCAGAACTTATTAGTATTTATATTAATATTGAACATTGTGTTACTATGTTTTTAAAAATTGTATTTCTCTTTAAAAACTGAAAAAATAACAAAAAGTAAAAAATAATAATTTAGAATATAAATATTAAGCCTAATGTGTTTTTTTATACTTAGGTTACTCGGAAAGACGTGATTATGTTTGTGCAACAAAAGAAAAAAAACAAAAAAAGATGGTTGACGTCAGTTCGAAAAAATATGAAGGCATAGGGCCTACCACCAAAGAAGGTGTACCAATAGTATTAAAATCAGTACGTTGACATAACAAAATTATTTTAATTTAAAATTAGTTATTAGTTTTAAATTTTAAATGTCTAAGTATAATTTTAGGAACTTAAGGAATCAAATCAGCCAAAGTGGTATAAACAAATGTATGAATCGCTACATAAATTTCAAACTGATGGTAAGTTTTAAATAACAATATTTAAATTATCATTAAAACTGTTAATTTTTAATGGTTCATACGCAGGATAGTATTTAAGGTTTCCAACAAATCTAAAATAATGTAATGGACTTTTTTTCTTAAAATACAATAAATGGTTATTAAAATCACAATAAATTTTAAAATTTTATTTTTTTGTCTTATTATGAAGTGGGCCTAAGATCACCTAGTATTTTTTAATTAAGGCGAGTTAATATTTAAATTTAATCAACTAAGAAATTAATGATAAAAATTTATTTATTGATACCATTATGTAATTTTCATTATTGGTTACTAATATTACAGATGACGGTGTTATTATTCGATACAAAACCTTAACCAAAGGTGATAATAATAATATAAATTATTTATTTAAATAGAGAGTAAAGCTTAGTTTCAATTAAAGTAGAATTTTTTTTATTAAAAGTTATGAATGATAAGTACTAAATGTAACATAAGCTCATGAATTAGTCTTTAAATATATGATGGTGGCTATTGTAACAATTTGATTTACATTTATTTAAAATTATCACTGAAATGTTTCAGTATAGTGCATAATTATTTTAGCTTACTAATTCTCTTGTTGAAATATTGGTGTGGAATAACATATTATAAAAAACTGACAACAAATGCTCTAACCTTAATATCATAATAATAATTAATATAAGTGTTCTCAAATTCGTTTTTTTATTAATGAAGTCTTTTTTGTGTTAGAGCCACAAACAAGAAATTTAAATGGATATTTATCAGAACCAGAAAGAGGCTATGAATCTTATGACGAAGCATATTCAATGTAACTCTTTGGATAATATAAAACCTAAAATAATTTAATATTTATAAAACATTTTTATTAAACTAATAATGAAAATATTATTTAAAAAAATTAATTTTCTTAGAAAGCCGGTTAAATGTAGTCAAGAACGATACAAAAATCAACCAAGGCCTATTGAAAATTATGAACCAGGTCATTCTTCAATTGCCGAAAAAGAATCAAAACAATATTGGGATGATGCTATAAACTCATTTGAGGGGGTAAGAATCTATTTTTTTTTTTTAATTCAAAATTAAAAAGTAATTATTGGTGTAGAATTTGGAAAAAAAAATACCATTACCCCATCACAGGTCATCATCAAAAAAATCTCATTTAGCTCAGTAAGTTAAATTCGTATACAAGTGATTGGTTTATCATTAAGGACTCGATAACTAGTAAAACAAATACAATACTGGAAAAATAATTTTCAATTTCTGTTAGTTACAAATAATTCTTGATTTATCAACTAATAATTACTTTTTAGAATGGTCCCTTATAACTAAAAGTGCGTGTTAACTTTATTTTTTTTTAATAATTACATATATATTTAATCAACTTATAAAATGGTAAATTATCATCTAATTAAGAAAATAACTATTTAACAACAATTTTGGACCAGTATCCCGGAAATTATCTCGGTGCTACTATTTTCAAAACTAGTCATTTCCAGGTCGTACTCTTCATCCAGCCTAGGTATAAAAATGAGAATAATATCCAAAGTACTGATACAAAATTTGTTATCGATCTTAATTAGATAATTTTCTATTTTATAAGTTGATTAAATATATATGTAATCATTAAAAAAAAATAAAGTTAACACCCACTTTAAGTTATAAGGGACGATTCTAAAAAGTAATTATTAGCTGATAAATCAAGAAATATATGTAACTAAAATAAAAAACTTTTTTTTTTTTTTAATATTGTATTTATTTTGGGAGTAATCAAGTGGTTTATAATAAACCGATCACCCTGTAGTTTGATATAATGTTTATCAATTAAAAACTATATTGTTATTATAGAGCTCTCAAAGAATCAGGTTATGACAGTGATTCTACATTAATTTTCAAGAAAAAAGAAAACTCACCTCAATGCTTATCACCAACTGAACAGAAAAATGCGTATAAAGTAATTCAAAGTGGTGGTGAAGTACCATTTCAAGGATTACGTAAAGCTGCTCCCGAGAGACCTAAAGGTGCTTTTACGTTTTTATACTATTTAAATAATATAGGTATAATTAATTTATAATCAATAACTATAAAACGAAACACTAAATTTTATTTTTGCATGAAGGCATATAAATTTTAATCTTAACTATAAAAAAATATTAACATGTGCATTGACACGATAAAAATAAGTTTCCACTTTAGTTGTAATAAATACATCAAGCTTTGAATTAGCTAAAACTATATATTAAAAGCATAAGTATTTTGGTAATGTGTATAATTATCGTGCAAATTATTTAATTATGAATTAAATAATGATACAATTAAATTTTTAATTAGACTCATTGAAATTTTATTATACTAAACTTGATAATGTTAAGTGTCCTAATTATAAATGAAAAACATTTTTAGTTTTAAACTCAATGCTTTTATTGTTATACCGAATCACAATTATTTTTATATGATGATAAAATTTAAATAATAAACAATTTTTTATTGACAATAATAATATACACACTTATTAATTACTACAAAAAATCCTTATTTTTACGAAAACATATTATTAACTCACTATCACTTTTAATAATACACAAATGGTAAATGCTAAAAGATTAATTTGGTTTCACCATCCGATGCACTCCTTTATAACTTGAACATGTATCTTTGAAAATATGTGAGGGAAGCACAGAAGTACGTGGAATATATTTTATTACAACAATTAACGACCATTGAGCAAAAAGCTTATTTTTGCACAAATATAGAATTTTCAAATAAAAAGTAAAAAATTTTAATTTGATATATAGATTTAGAAATGGAATACTTACCAATCACGTCTCATTTGACTCGTATTCATGTTATGAAATATGATAATCAAATATTTCACCATCCTTGGAAAGAAGTAACGTGTTACCCAGTTTTTTCAACATTTAAAAGAACTTCAAGATCAAATGCCAGCTCTTCAGTTTCACCGCCAACACCGCCTAGGCGTGAATCATCAAGAAAAAATTCGAGATTAGAACGTTGGAATAAAGAAGATGTTGCAGAATCTAATTTTACAGTAAAAATTGGAAAGCCAAAATCTGAAATAGAAAAAAGATCAAAAAATCCAAGTTTCAAAAATTCTAACAAAGTAACTAGCAATGAATTAAAAACTGAAAAAGAAAAATCGCTTCGTGTAACTCTAGCTGTATCCGCAAAAGGAAAAGAACTTAAGCGGTCTGCCACTTTATGTGAAAAATCTTCGGAATCGCCCATTCCCAAAAGAACAAAATCATTATCATTGCCGTCAAAAAAGACGACTGTTGTTTTAAAAAATAAAGAAAGAATACCAAAAACAATACTAGTAAAAAGTAACAGTTCGTCTAAAAGAAAAAGCAACAGAAACGAAGAAAAGTCAATGGTAAAATTAAATGTTGGTAATGTAAAAAATGAAGAACAACAAATTCAATTTGGCGAAGAATATATTCAAAGTGTTTCTGTAGCTAATGAAGGAGAAAAAATATCTCGGGTTAAACATATAGAATCCGCTTTAAAACCAAGAGAAAGTAAATTAGATGTATTTTTGATAAATAGAAAACCAGTATCACAGTCGAAATTTAAAACGTATGATAATAAAATTTCAATGGAAACCGATTGGGATCAATTTGGTGAGCATACGAATAATTATTTTAAGGGTAGAAGTGCTAGCGAACCACCTTCGAGATCACCTTCTTCACGACGTATTAGAAGTTTTCATACGCCTGTGAAGTTAATTGAAAGTATTACAGGTATACATAAGTGTCATCGTTCTAAAAGTGTTGAGGAACCAATTGAACGAGCAAGAAATGCTGCAATTGATTATGAATATCAGACCTATGTAAGAGAATTAAGACATTCAGGAAAAAAATCAGAGCGATTCAAAGAATTACATAACTTTTACTGCAGTTTAGAAAGATTAAGCGAGTTAGAAAAAACTGCTGAAAAGGCTAGTAATAAAGTTAGAAAACGTAGTGATTTAATTGATTTCGACAAGTGGAAAACAATAAGAGAAAAAGAGCGAGCAGAATATGAAATAAAAACAATACAAGCAAATTTAGAAAGTATACAAAAATCAAAAGACGTTTTGTTTAAAATTAAAGATCCAGAAAACATACGTTGGAAAAAAGGCCTAGACCGTGGCTTAAGAAATCGAGAGTCTTCCGTTGAAGATTTAAAAAGAAAGTTTTACGTCATAGGAAACGAAACTTTTCGTAAACCCGAAATAAACGTATATAGACCTCTATGGAGAGGATCATCTGTTCAAGATGTAGCTAATTCTTTAAAAAACACAACGTCGTCCAAAAGAGGACGACCAGTTTCTGAAGATAGAGAACGAAGTTCTACTTCTGTTCCAAGGAGAGCGACTTCTAAGAGTGTAGCAAATATTGGTGGTCGAATTTGGAGTAGTTTGTCTATGGAACAGTTAAACAGATTAAAAACTCAACTAAATGAAGTTTACAGTAGTTTGTCTCATATTAAACAGGAAAGATGTTCTAGATCGATTAGTAGAATAGAAAATAAGAAAAATTATGAAATAGAAGTGAACGGAAGAGTAAAAAAATCAAACATGAGTTCTTCTTTGTACGTGAGATCTAGCTCAATGGGAGCTTCTCGAAAAACAGAAGAACATGAACAAAGTATTAAAAAAGCTGATTCTATAGGTTCAGTTTGTTTAACGGAGAGCGAAAAAAAAAAAATTTCAAAATGTATTAGTAATGAAGTATTAGAAAAAAAAAAGAAAAAGTATTCCTCTAACGTGGTAATACCTAAAGAAACTTTAGGAGCAGTTGCGGCTGTAAAAAGCAAAAATACAGGAACTGAATGTATTTCACCAAGAACTTGTTATTCTATTGATATGTCTGAAGAAGAGTCGACATCTAAAAATGAAAAGAATAATTACGTTTTAGTATTAGCTGACAATGAAAACAAAAAGCAAATGGTATCAGATTGGGCTAATGGTAATAACTATAGTGAGTCGAGCTCATCTGCGTCTACTGTAATACACCTTGGTTCGAAAAAAACAACTTTGCATTCGTCCCATAGTTTTACTTCAATGAAATCAATGTTGGGAGAAAGAGAAGTAATGCATAAAATATTGTCTCCATTACAGGATCAATTTTACCATAAATCCAGGCTGGTTGAATATGGTGCTGTAAGAAAATTATGCAGAAAATTCGAAAGTTTTGACGACCTTCGGTTTTTACACTGTGACTCCATTTCCAATGAAAATAATATAATATATTTAAAAAAATACAGAAGTGAATCTGAACTTTGCAAAAACGTCATAAGGAACCATGAACACGGCGACGTTAAAAATCTTAAAATAAAATACGAACATTCTAAAAGCCCAGTTCCTAAATATCCATTAAGGCCTGAAAATCGCTTGATGCCTCGTATAAATGTCATTAGTAAGCTAGCTAATCTTCAAAATAGGTTATCTAGGGGCGAGGTAGACAGAATAAGACGCATGTTTGAATATAAAAATAGAGCTTTTGTGTTAGGGCAGTTTTATACTTCCACTCCTGACTTAAGTGAAGCTAGAAAAATGTTACCATTTCTTGACTGTAGCTGGCTGGCACATAAATATCCTGAACCCGAACCAGTAAACAGAATTAGAGTGAGGCCCAAGTCTACTTCACCCGTTAGATGTAATAGAAAACATCATCATCCATCTATACTAAAACAATCAAAAAATGACGGATTTTTAAGCCAGCCCTATAATCCGGAAGCTCATAAACCCAAATACAGGTGGACACCAGTTTGGAATGGCGTTTGGACTCAACAACCTACTTTACCACCTAAACCATCAGTTGTTAAATTTAAAGGTGCCAAATTATGATTTTCTCACGTAAAAAATGCACTTTTAAAAAATACACATAACAAACTTGATTTTTTTTATAATATTTTTCAAGTCATATTTTTATAAACTCTCTATTTGTCTAAAAAAAAAGACTTAAAAACTCCTATGAATATTAAGTTAAACATAATTATGGTTATATATAAGTTATTGATTAGATGACATAATGATTTGAATATATTAGATGAATAGAATTTAACCTATTGTAGACTTCGTGTCCGTAATTCGAGTAGTCTCTCCCTATTATTTACAAAAGCTGAACAAACCGCCCGGTTGAAAAATTATGTTTGTCTTATATTTATTATAGAAATGATTAATTAAAATAATTAATAATTTTCATTATTAGTTGAGTTCTATTATATCTCGTTAAATTGTGTATCTCTAACCTAAGTTATTCATACGTAATTTAAATGTAGAGGTCTACCGCGAAATAACTATACTTTCCGTTTGACGGCGAAGACATAAAAAAACTATTAACCTTGACGTGGTTCACGGCCAACCGGCTGCGTGTCTATGTGTGGAATCGAATTTTCCTAAATTCTCATTTATACGAATAGGTTTATTACAGAACAAATGACATTCTTCTTCGTTGTTGATCCCTATTATCATAACCATAACATTGTAATGTACTCAGCTTATGTTGGTTACCGTCGGCTGAGTGCGCTACGGTCGACGGTAAGACTATGATATTGCCGTCACTAACATGTGATATTAGTAGTAACTAATTCGGCATCGAGTGTTCGTGTTTGTCGGGGCATGGGTTGACTCGTCTGGAGTATCAATCACGGTCGGCTGTGTTTGTTTTTAATACTAGTAATTATTTAGTGCCCGTCTTACGGGTTACTATGGCTAGCTGTGAATCTAAAAAACCGCTTTTGTTACCGGCAAGATCGGTCAGTCTCAGGAGGATCGTTGTTAATGGAAGGTGTAAGTAATTATTTATTAATAAAAATGAACGAGAGAAAAAAAAAGAATTCATTATGACAAATCAACTTATAAGATTAAATGATTAATATGTAATAATTTTGAGAACAAATAAGTAAGCCGACTTTTTTATAAAATCGTCTTCAAGATAATTATACATTGCGATTCGCTCCCAACAAATAGTTTCTAGCCTACTCTCCGGACTTTCTTTTACCGTATATCATAAACTTAACTTCGGTTAAATGATAGTTTCTTTTTAACTGCAATTACGTACGGTTCATCAGAATCACACTTATAACATATATATATATACTCAATACGGTGCAATGCCTCCTAATCGTCCCTTGAAAGATTCAGTCATAATTACTCATGGTTATTCAGGTTTTTATTTTTTTATTATTACATTATTTTTCAGAAATCGTTAACTTTTAAGTAAACATTTAAGTTTTTAGTAATAGTAATTTTACGATGCAAATTAATATAACTTTGGTATTTATTTTTTCGAGTTAAAAAGACTTAATGATAGAATATTGGAAAAGTTAATACAATTTTATGTGTAATTGTTCAACAATACACACACTAAATTATGCGTCATTTTACTTTGTAATCAAGTAGTATTATGTTGTCATAATTTAGTGTAATACTAAAAAAACACATGCCTATATTTATATTGATAAGTTAAAAAAAAAAGATACTTTTTTAAAACTATTTAAGAATAAAAGATTAGTACTTAAACATTTATTAAATTTAAATGTTATCATTTTATTGTTCAGAATAAAGAAAACTATTACAAATAGTGCAGTATGAAAACGTTTTACTATTTTGCATAATATGTACTACTTATTTTTCGTTAACTTTAGACATAAATCATAGAGCTCAATATTTTTTAAATGGGCCATAAAATGTATGTAAATAGAATCTTTAAAATTATATTGAATAGTTCGTCTATTAATGTTATTGAAAAACGTTTAATATAATAGTGTATACATCTTAGGTGATGACCGTATCGTTACTTTTTCAGTCCATTAAATATCTAATTTTCGTTTTATTAAAAGAGCTCTACATAATCTACGAACCTCCTACGTGTTATAGAACGAATGAGCCAATCATTTTGTTCGCTATCGAATTAACGACCACTGTGTTTCTTCCTCAAAGCCACATAGCAACGACATAGTGAGCATAGCATATGACTGCACTCGCCCTGGGTATAAACACTGCACCTGGTCGATGTATACTATGAATATTATGCGTTTTCAGTTGTATTATTGTATCAAGCATAGTAGGTCAAACACTGAGGTTCCGCCCACGATGAAAACTTGAGCTGTACGACACGCAGCAATCCCTTTGCCCTTGTACACCATGTCACTCCGACGCAAGTTCCACCTTCTACCCTTTAAGGTCACAAAAGTGGCGCCGATCATAAATCAGAATTCAACGCATTTTTTTTTTTTAACTTTTCACATACTCTGTTTATTTTTAACCTCTTAGTCGTAATAGTTTGAACTATGATCTATATAATTTATTAGAAATCCCCGGGCTTGACGATTAGTTTTCTCATTCGATATAATTTTTAAAAATTAACACACGTTCAAGCGTATATAAATAGTAAATTTAGTATCAATAAACGTATGTGAATAATGGCTAAAGCGTATCGTCATTATTCAATCAGTTTCAGCAGCTGTATCAAACCTACCATTTTTCATAAATTTTTATCCACAGTAAATCGGTTGATCGTATTATTATAATGAATTTTAATTTTAGTGAATTGATTTGATTTTTAGTAAACTCGTTACATTAGTACTTTCTACTAAAAATATTTTCAATTTTTATGACTAATGGGTGTTTTTATTTTATTGTTAAAAATCATCATACACGCTCCTTAAAACCGCTAACCTAGTTTTTTTACTCGCATATTTTTTTTATTTTCACTAGGAAATTTTATTGATATAAGAATGTCATTTTTTAAGATTTATTGTTTGTCTTTCGCTTTGCGATTGCGTGTTAACTTCGATTTCAATAATGACGGAGAAAGTGCTGCAAAAAGAAATCTCAATAATTACCCAATTATTTCTGTCCCATCCTATAATCATTTTTTATTTTCTTAAAATAACTTATAAAATAAGTACAATGGTGCAATTTCAATCACGATTTTCATAATTTATAGTTGCCTAATACTTCAAAAAGTGATTGCTGATGTAAATAACGGCATCTGTTTTTTGTAACCCAAAATCATATCTATTTTTAATTCTATTATACTTTACATTGTTCTTCTTATAAGTGTTGAGAAAACACATATCTATCGTTCCTTAAGATGGGTGCATGGAATTTTTATTAAGAAAAAACCATATATGTTTGTTTATATTGTAGGAGTAGACACGTGAAGTTTTGAATATTCTCTGTTATTTTGTCCTTTACTTTGTTAGCTGATCTCATCAATTTCTACATTGATAAACCTTATGTGCAAGTCAATACATTCCACGGTGATTTATATTAACTTAAAAAAATCTTAGTATGAAATTCCAACTACTATACAGAAGTTATTGTCAAAAGAAGAGAAACCGATAATTATATTGCCGTTTGAACGTGTTTAACGATCCATGTTACATTGATCTTTCATTCAATGTGGCGGCACGTGTTTGAATCATATCTTAGGCTGAAGGTCTTTACTACATTTGACGACGCTGCAATATATATAAATAAAAATATCATAACAATGTGGAATAATCGTAGGAGTAATTATATTACGGTGGTTGAATTTTTCACATTTAGCCTATTAAATCTGTGCGTATCCATAATTTTTTTACGGTTAACCACGAAAGTCTGTTGTTTGATTAGAGGAAGCAAAAGAATTGAAAGGACGCATCTTGCTGCATGCGATTTATTGTTGATTTTGTCATCATTCGTTTCATTGTTCGATATCACTATAGAAGTCGTGGGGTCCCCATAGTGTTCGATTCCTAATTTAGACAATCTAACTGCATTAGGGGTGACCCGCAATCACCCATAATTCTGATTACAACAAAACGTTACCGAATTTCTGAGGTTGAAGAATAACCGGATATCATTTAAGTCGTTATTATTATATCTGCTTAGTTCAATGTTACTTTTAACATCATAAGAACTTGTGGTTGTAAACCGTCGACAGATGTACTATGTGCTAAATACTATTGTATATATGTATGTAGATTCGCCACACAAGTATGCGGAGTCGGAGGTGACACTACAATATCGTCGTCCGGTTCGAAACGAGATCAAAGAAGAATGGTCCGAAGAAGAGTTGGCCATAAAACAGGCGGAAGCTATGAGAAGAATTTACCAAGAAGAGAGGAGACGAAAGTATTTACAAGAGCTCCAGGACATGTCAAACCGACGACATGCCGACAACTTACTGTAAGTATGCAAAGCAACACGCTGTATGCGTATGCGTATAGTAACGTTTTATATATTCACGTGCATAACAATAGGCCTTCGCAGAAATCACCTATAGCTTTGAATCGTTACGATGATTTCCTAGATGAGAGTCCTCAACCACCTAGAAGTCGTACTCCAGAGCCCAAGTTGGTCGCCAGAGCGTTATACAATTTCATCGGTCAAACATCTAGGTAATTATATTTAGCTACTACCATATTATGTAGTAAACTATAGTGATTGACTGCAACAGCATAAATTTATAAATAATAAATGTATTTTGTTGTGCATTGTTCGGTTTTTTGTGCACGTGAGCAGAGAGCTGTCGTTCCGGAAAGGTGACATCATATTCGTCCGGAAACAGATCGACAAGAACTGGTACGAAGGGGAGCACAACGCCATGGTCGGATTGTTCCCTTTCAACTATGTCGAGGTATTGTTCCTTTATACGGTCCATAGAACTCACGCAATTCGAACGAAAAACGCGTAATATATCATGTATTTCCTATTGAACAGGTAATCCCGTATGATGGAGTTAGAACGACACCACATCGACCATACGAGGGCCAAGCAAGGGCAAAATTCAATTTTTTGGCTCAGACCAACATGGAGTTATCTTTGGTCAAAGGTATTTTAATCAGATTAATTTAATAATGATTTCTTGCAGTAATCTTGTTTGAAAAAATGTTCTTTAATTTTTTTTACCATTGTGGCTTAATTGAACTTGAATTCCCCCGTTATCATGTGAATACCTTCACGTGCACACCGTGTATAAATCTTCTAATGAAATGATGACCATAGAATTATTACTGTGATCTTCTTTACAGGAGAATTGGTCGTTTTGACAAGGCGCGTTGACAACAATTGGTATGAAGGAAGAATCGGTAGTAGGAAGGGAATTTTTCCTGTTTCTTACGTTACTGTTTTAGTGGAACCGGGAGATGCTCCAAGTAATAATAATAAAACAATAGAATATAAATAAAACTTTGAATGATATCAATAATCTAATCTTGTCCGGGTTTGTTTTTCAAGTATAGGCTCATATATCATCTATGTGCTATATTTTTTGTATTTTTCTTTTCTTTATAGATTCATCACTGAGTGCACCTTCTAAACCCGTAGCGTCACCAGCAGCGCACTCTCTCATAACCAGTAACCCGCCGAACACGCAGCATGCCTATCAGCCGGATAGCTATTCGTCAATGGTATCGAAATGTCTTATCAACAAAAAAATGTATACTATTTCCATTTAAAAACCTTTAACTAGTTATCGATAATATTTGTAGCCATCGAAAAATAATTCTGGAACACAGTCGAAAAAATTAACCAATAACAATATGAACGAAACGCTTCACGTCGACGTACATTCAGAACCCATACCGTAAGTATATTCATTGAACACTATTATTTTTAGTAAACTATAGAATATAAACTGCATTATTGTCTTTATGTAAAAAACTGTTAACGGTTAGCAGATGTTTAACCTTTTCAGCGGTAGAACAACATTTGTAAGAAAACTCGTACTTTTTATTAAGAAGAAAAGTATAATATCAAATATTTTTAATGTCATACTTGTGAAAAAATATTTATAAACAGATAATGTCAGTCGGTCGAACACTTGAAAAATTATCTATTGATTTTTATAGTTTATTCTATTTAATACTTCGAAAGGGATTATAAGGTTTTTATATTCTTGTGCAATAGTAAACGAACAGCTGGTCGGTGTTTTTTAGTAGCAATGTAAAAAGTTATTTATGTATAACTTCCGGTGTAATATTTAATTTGTTAAACGTTTTATATAATGAAATGCTATATTGACCAAACTTTATATTGAAACTATAACTTGTAAACGTTGCTAAGCATGCAGAGTTTAGGGTATAATTATACCGAAAATGTTTTATCCCGATAAAACATTTAACATCTTAAATATATATTTCTATCTTAAACTAAAAATAGCTGTTATTAAGTGAGTATCGCACTAAATTGCGATACTCACTGTAAAACTAAATTTTTGATAAAACTAAATCGAGTTTTGTTTTAGAAAAGAGGATGTCGATTGATCGTTACACGGTTTATATAACAATAATTGTTTTTCATTAATAGTTATAGGGCGTTATATAACTATAAACCACAGAACAATGATGAGCTGGAGCTCAGGGAAGGCGATGTAGTCTTTGTTATGGAGAAATGCGATGACGGATGGTACGTTGGATCTAGTAAACGAACGGGCTGTTTTGGAACTTTCCCGGGTAATTACGTCCAGCGCAGCGTTTAATTGTCGATCGCTGGCAGCACGTCATTTCCTCCGTGGTAAAAAAAAAGCGTAATATTTTATTTATTTTATATACCAAAGGTAGTATAGATAAATTATTTTTATTTTAAGTTATTGTTGATTATAGTTGAAAACTATACAATTTTAACATGTATATTCGTTTGTAATTATTTATTGTTAAATGCATTACATTAATTTAATTATTCTAATTCTTAATGACTTTTATTTTACTATAATATAAAAAATGTTGTAAACATAACCAACACTACCTAGTCATGGAACTTCACAGATTATATAATTAAAAATAAGTAGCAACAAAATAAACAGCTAACATAAAAGTTATTATTTGACATATTTAATAGGATAAATATAAATTAAAAAAAGAAACTTGTCAAATTATTATTGATAATTATATAACTACTTGATTCCTTTTTAATATTTTGATAAATGTTACGGATTTTTTTTTTTTTATAGATTTTTAGTCTAATATACACGAGTCACGATTACACCCATTTTTGTCATTACTGTTAAGTTTTAAATGTTTATTTAATTTTAATTTTAAGCATACTTAATTATTTATATAATAAACAAAGTGTTCCTTAAATTGTACCTATAACTAACTTGATAAAAATAAAATGAATGTATTGATGTGTCGTTGTTGTTAATCCTTCAGAAATAATCAATAACAGAATGAGGATATAAACTATTATAGGGGATTAATATGAATTTTATTTTATTTAAAACATTTTGAAAATAAACATATAACTATTTGTAAACTTTGAAATGTGTATTTTTTTCGTCGATTAAAATGCATAACTCTAAAACTTCGATTATTTTTTATAGTGTGCTATTAGCATACTTAATATAAAATTTAAATACACTTACTCCATGAATATGTTGATGTTTGAGTAACCGATGTGCAGGAAATAACATTACTAATACTGTAATATATTGAAACATGAAGATGAAATTTAGTTGTCAGTTCACACACGTCCGTTTTAGCATGAATTATGTTTGTTTAATAAAATTAAGTAAGATTTTTGTACAAAAAATAACTCGTACCTATTGATGAACACAGCTAATTTAGATTTTTATCAGTAAATAGACATTTCCATATGAATACCTAAATTATTTTGTTTATTTAATTCTAATCACTATCATTATAACTTTTAGATTTATTATAAGTACTTTGAATTCTATTTAATAAAAATAAAATATTTATATATGGTTGAATTCACATTAAGTGTATTTTTAGATTGCCATAAGCGCAATTTTACTCAAAGTAATTAAAACAATATAATAAAATATAGAAGCTATTTTTTATTAATATTTGCAAACCATTTGCAGAAAATATAAAAAATACAATATCTAATACGTATAAAATAGCATACTTCAATCCAAATAATTTAACAAAAATGAGTAGAATAACTTTTGAACTCGTTTGATTGGAAAAATAGTTTAAAAGTAAACAACAACATGTCTATATAAAACACAATACCGTGATGTTCGTTTATAATAATAAAAAATTGAAACAATAGTATATTTAATAATTATATAAAAACACAAAAATAAATTAATTGAATAAAAATTTTAAAATAATCAATTTTAACTATAAGATGATGTAAAACATAGCACTAGTTAAATTAATATATGAATATTTATTTTAACTTAAGATTTCTCAGATGATGCTGGAGTAGATCCTGAGGAAGATGACGATTGTGTCGGAGTTGGTGCTGGTGTTTGAGCTTTACTAGTAGAAGCTTCTTCCTTAGGTGCATCTTTGGTGGTAGTTTTCGGTGGATTGATAGGCGCTTGTTTCTGTTGTTTTTGCGGTTTTGTTGTAGGTGTTACTATTCTCGATACACCGTCAATAGCACTCTAAAAATAATAAATTATAAATATTAATATGAAAATAGTAAAATAATTATAAAAATCGATTGTACATTCCCGTTTATATAAAGATGTTCTTTTTACTTTTATTAATTTTGTATATTACCTAAATTTTGTAGAAAAAACATCAAAAAAATGCATTTTTTATAGAAATAATATTCAAAAGAAGTTGTTTAAATATATTAAAAACTATTATTTATCCAATAATACACTGACAAAAACTAATATTTTTTACTATTTTCAAGGATAATTCATAAAGCGTGTCATTACTCATTATGTCAGTGTTAACGAGCTTAGCTGAACGAACAAGAAAAAGTGAAAAAACAATATAAGTTAATTATTTGCTTGTACTACTATCGTCATAAACGTGCAACAAACGACATTTCGATGAATTTTTTGTAATGTTAAAAAAAATGTAAATAGTATTTTGTTATAGGTATTTCACTCACATCTTTCATTTGTTTAATGTATTCATAGAACATTTCGATGTAACATTTAGCTATATCCGCGGAGACTTCGATTGTTTTAACTATTACTGAACTTCCGTTCAGGAGTCGAACACATCCCATTTCAACCAACAATTTGCTTTTTGCTGCCTCATCAGGAGAGACTCCATCACCAAGTTTCTTCCATATATTATTAAACGTCGTTAAAAGCAATTTTTGGTCGACAATTAGCTATAAAAAAAAAAAAATACCAGTGAGACTATGCAAAATTATTTCAGTAATTAAATACCAGAAAAAAAAAATTTAAGTTCAACTTTATTCATAACCTTATAAAATTTATTAACAATAATATCACGCTATAGGGAAAAATTATTCTTATAATATTGTGATAAAAATATACGCCTATTAAAGTTTTTTTTTTTTTTTGATATAACAAATGGAATATTCGTTGAAATATTAGTACCACAAATACATACCTAACAAAATCCCTATTGATAATTATTTTAATAGTTAAGATGATTTTTAATAATAAATAATACAAATAACAAAATTTAATCTAACAACCAACTATAAATATATATTTGGCAAATCATTTTGATGAAATACATAATTTAGTTAACACTCACCATTTTAATCATAGCAAAAGACTCTGAGGTCGCATTAATAGTTAGGTACAAAAGGTATTTTGGTTCTGCGTAGGCGTGCTGAAAGGTTCGTCGCACTATTGTGCTGGCCAGTCTGAGTACTCTTGACTTCTTGTCATCACCTGAAAAATCTTAAAAATTAAACACACGAACAGCACGTTGAAAATGTGTATACTTATATTTTATCAACCCACCAATGGTTCACGAATACTTTTTTTAAATATTTTGAAATAAGCTATTAGCTTATACTCGTTAATAGTTTATAATTATTTTAGCACGTGAGATTGAAACATAACAAGTCCCCTAAAGCTAGACACCCACGATGGAAAATGGTTTCGGTCTTTAAACAGAAATATATTTTACTTAGTGATTGATAAATCATAATATAATTAATGTGAACCTATTCATTAGTTTCTTTTTTACAACAATGACATGTCTGTGACTTGTACGTACATGTCTAAACTACCCACGGATTTCTAGTACTCACGAATACTTCACACAAATAAAAATAATTACACGGAAAAAATAAACATTATATATGTTGCCTTATATGTTTGGCGTTTCATATTTAACAATAATATTTTATTTTTCAAGAAATGTTTACCTTTGTTCTTTTCTGGCTCTAATTCTGGTAAGAAATAATCGACGTAATATTCAGCAGGAGGCAAAAGTTCCATGTCCACCCATTCAGTAATTGGATGCACCATGTCTACAACGTAATTGATACTCTCGTCGTACAGCTATAATAAAAATAGATTACATTTATTAAAGAAAAAAATTATTTAAAAAATAAACTTAGATGGTAAAAATAATTAATCAATAATAACCTATATTATTTTAAGTTCAATTAACATAAAAACTAGCAATTAAAATTAACTATTAAATTTATATTAGCTTATATTATGATTTTACACATTTGGCATCTTACGAATAATTTGTAAATAGATTTTTTGGTGTTAGAGATTAGGCTTTAAGTATTACTTCATTGTTTTAACATATAAACAAACATTTGCTACATATAAAAAATTAATATTAGACAGATATTTAAATGATAGGGCATTAGTAAACTAAGTCACAACCTTTCACATAACGACTAATGTTCTCAATAATTTATAAAGTGATTATACAACTTAAACTCAGGCAATATCTTTAAAAATATAAAAAATAATATAATTTTTCCTTTCAGAAATTAATAGTATCTTATCTACTCTTTTTAAATTTTATCAACATTAGTTTTTTTAACTTTAAGAACGCATTATATTATTAACTTATATACAGACTCATAGTTAATGAATCACTCTGTATATAATTAAAATCAGGGGTGCCGGAACTGTTTTTACATGAGGGCAAAAATTAAGCGACTAAAGTTCGATCCCCTTGATTCTTACAAAGTTGAATAGCGGTAAAACTATTTATTTATTTTTATTTTTAGTGATAATATAAAAAAAAACCGAAGTTCATAAACTTTAACTTTATTAATGCATATTATGTTTCATTATATTATTAATGATAATTGATAATATATTGAATACAGTTTATAGGATAATTTTTTTTTTTTTTTAATTATTATAATATAAGAAAAATTTAGGTGATATAAAAATTACCAAGTTAAATTAATGGACATTCAGAATCAAACTTACACTGAATAACTATTATGAAATTAAAATTTAGAAATATCTAAATAAATCTAGTACTGAATGAAAACAAATTTAATCTTTGGTAAAAAATTGATTACAATTTTACTTTGCCCGATAAAATTTGTTTGGCCACAATTGATAATTTAACAGTTAACGTAGTACTATGAGATATAATCTGAAGTCAATAATAAACGATTTATTTAAAATCAAGTTATAAAAAACAAAGTTATTTAATTTAACCCATATCTTTAAAAATAATTTTTTTTCGACCATAATTCTTTTGTCAGATTCAATTTGAGCAGGCAAAATTACATTTCCCTTCCAGTATTTTTACTAGCGGTAACAATCAATTCTGCCAACCGGTTCCGGCGCCACTCATTTTAGTAATTAATGATTATATAGTACATATATATAATGTGGAGGCATGCTGTGGCGCAGTGGTCACACTAGTTGTTGACATAAATCTAGTGTTAAGCCGTACCTACCGCCGTAGATGAACGGATGGGTGACCATACGTGCGCTTCTACGGTGGCGAAAAAGCACCATGTTGAAGCACATGTTACTCGTGCAGAAGACAACTAGAAATTACTGCACTTAAATTTCCCCGAGATATACCAATCCAATTGTGCAACGACAAGGCAAGGCCTTCAGTGGAGGATGAATATTTCATGTAACACATAATGATAAGTAAAGGTTTAATAGTTCCCTACACGTTTTTTTCGTTACTTTAAACTCGTAGAGTAGTATTATTTTAGGTTTTAAACACCTATCATAAATTGTATTGTGATCATTAGAAAAGCTAAATTGTGACATGTAAGTATATATCAAAATTATAATATTATCTAAATGAACATATGAACAAGTATACGCTTGTGCGCAAAAAAATAATTAGTGCAATTAATGCATAATTAGCACAATCAATGTCATAGCGAAATTAAGATAAGTTACACTATTAAAGGAATTATTTATATACACATACAAGATTACAATGTTCAGCTTCGCATCGAAGCTAAGCACTAGGATTACAAATGTTCAGTCAAATAACTTAAGGTGGGCAATTGTCCTACTATCGTTTTTAGAAAGATTATTTATTAATTGTCAAGAATTCATCAGTTGTCATTTTATTGATACAAGTTACTAAAGTTTAATTATTAATTTCTTTTTTCAGATATAATATAACTAAATATACATTAAATTAAAATATATATTTAAAATTATTTAAACTTATTATTCAAAAATAAAGTCTTATTATATTTTAATTATTAATAAATAAAATTTAAAATATTGTTTCTATACTTGAGTACGCTTAAAAAAATTAGTAATCAAACCATATGCCACGAATGTCCTAAAGAATTATATGCAGTGTAGTAAAATCCATTTATTAATTAAATTACATAATGTTAACCAACAGAATATCAAGGCCAGGTGTCATATGTATGAGACAATATCTCTAATTAATATTATTAACGGTTAATTAATTTGATTTGGCACATTACTATAATTGGATTATATATAAAAATTAACTGATGTACTTTATGTTAATACAATAAGTATTTGAAAAACTATTTTAGTTATTAAACTCAAAGATTTATTGGTTTACGCCAATTTTATTATTTCATAATTATAAAAACATTATAATTGAATCATAATATTTTAAATATTAATTTAAAACTAAAAAATAATTAGCATAAAAAGTACTAAAAATTCTATCAGCGCTAAACACATTGTGTTTAGCAATGATAATGACAATATTTAAATTATCCGTATTTACCGTAAATGTGAATAAATATAAATACTTTTGTGGACTCATGAGTTAAATATTTTTAATATATATTATGTTTTAAAATAATACTAACCACAAGTGATCAATTCTTATTACGGAATCATAATATTTTATATTAAATTTGTACACGACAAAAGATAAAAAAATACTTCGAAAATTAAAAATGTTATAATCTATTTATAAAATAATTCAAATTATTAAATTATGACTTTGTCAATATCTGTAGTTACCTTAATATATTACTTTTATCTTTTTCACTATTTTTAGCAGATTTTAAACATTTCCTATTCATAGTACTTAATTATATATAACTCTATTTATTTATTTCTTATAATTAAATAATAAATAAATATAATTATTATTATTATTTTTATTTTTATTTAAAGTAAAAGTACCTAAGTTTTAAGAAATTTTATTAATATTATATTATGTAAGGCTCCGATATACAAAATTTGATTGTAAAAAAATGACCACAAGTCAATAATCATGTTGTTAACTTAACGAAATTAAAAGCTAAAAAAGTAATATCTGAATTTAAAAAAATATGTATGTAAAAAAAATTTAACCACGCAAATAAATATATATATATTTTGTAATTTTTAATAGAATTAATTTAATTATTTAAAAAAGAGCTGTAGCTAAAATAATACCTGTAATTTAAAATTTAAAGCCAACAGGCTAGAGTATTTCAAAAGGTAATATTATGATTAATATTTGAGATCAAACATTTTTCGAGATACATTGTACAATTAAAACTTATTACATTTTTAATATATCGAGTATTTAAATATCGAGTATACTGAACTACTAAAAGTCGTATATTTTACGTAAGTATAAACATTTATATTTCAAAAAATATAAATTATAAATTTTTTTTAATTGTTTGCATATCTTAAATTTCGTATAATAAATCAAAATCCATCTTAAAATTTATCCCATAAAACTAATCAATCAAAAAATATTAATAGATTTGTATGAAAATTTGAAATGTATTTACTAGGTTAACTTTTTATCAATCCAAGTATACGATGATTTATTAAATAAAAAAATTTATAAATAATAGTTAAGTATCTATAAATATAATGGGAAATTTTTGTCTATTCTATAATACTCAATAATTTGCCAAGTTATTATTCTTAATTTACAAATTCTTTGTCATTTCCCAAGTTAAAATAAGTACTAATTTATTTTACTCTTATGATAACAAAACAAGATAAAGATATTATTTATAGGTTCATTATATACATTAAGTGAAATATTACAAAATATTTTTACTTTAGAATTTTTAATGTAATGCTTTAAAAAGTTATAGAATTAAATATAGATGTAAAGTTCATATTACTTGTCCTGGAGTTTTGGTTAACATCGGTAAATTGAGTTCTGCCAAGTCTAATGTTGTACATAACATATGATCAACGGCCTTCAATGGTTTTTTAACATACGACAATGGATATTGAATTGCAGTCTCAGCTCCAGTGCTAACTTTTTCCAGACTCCATTGCATTATAGCAGACGAATCCTGTGCAAAATTTCAAAAAATTTTTAATCCACGAATAACTACATTTTTCTTCATTGTTTTCAACGATAAATTTCGGAAATTTAAAAAAGTTCATGCAAATCAACAACAAAAAGTGTATTTGAATATCAAAGAAAAGTCCAATAGAATTTATTAAATTTCACACTGGGCTTCAAAGTGTGGAATATGCATATGCATTTAGATTATGGACGTTGTCCTGATATAAATTCAATTTTTTCTTTTTAAAAAAGATAAAATTAAAATATTATAACAGGAAAAAATTTAATAATTATCTTGTATTTGAAAAAGTCTGTAGTTATGTGAAAATAAGACTTAATTACTTTTAGAACAAAATAAGAATGTTTTCTGATTTCATAAATAAAAATGTTTAATTAATTTACCTTGAGTCCATAGTAAATGTGAGAGATAAAATCATATCCCATTTTAATAACTGGGATTTCTGTTTTCACACGATTGAAATACAATAAATTTACGGTTTTTTGATTATGAACATTTTCTGTTGCTACAGTCATTATGTCCAATTAAATTACACAGTTTCAACTTAAAAATTAAATTTTGATTGTCTAAGGAAAAAAGCACAGATTGATACTAACTAGGACGCAGCAGAATAAGAAATGTGTAATTGAAATTCATGCACAGCCAAATTCATAGGGAGAATTTCATTACCTGGATATTTTTGTACAATACGCGATAAGATAACGAATAATAGAACTAATTTATGATTAGGAATTAAAAATTAAGTACATGGTGGAATTTAATATACCACCAATATTTAATATAATTCACTGTAATAAATAATTTTTCTATTCCTCGAAAACTATGAAAAATTATAATTATGTGACATTTATAAAACACAAATGAAAAAAAAATTACATTTGTATAATTAAAAATAGATATTAGACAATAGATTTTAAAACTAATTTTCGGATAGTTATTTATAAAATTCAACCGAATTTCCGAAATTTATTATTAAGTGTGCAATCAGATATAGAATAGCTTCTAATCAGCTTCGACGCAAGAATATTTTAATACAACGATTTAATGGGAAGTTTTGCTACACAGAAATCACTTAAATAACTTCTTTTATTGAGAAAGTTAATTTTAACAACTTTTCATTTATATTTCTAGAAAAAAATCTAATATAACTTAACCTAACTTTCCGTACACCGACACAAAATTTTTTAGTTTATATTATACGGCTCATTTTTATATGTTGCGTTTTTAAATATACAACAGCTTAACAGGGCCCACTCGTGAGAGGGTGTCCGACAAATATTAGTCGTGTATCAATTATAATTATTTAGAATGTATGAAAATTTGACTGATTTACAATAACGGATAAAAAGTTTTAACAAAAATAAATATTATAGCAAACATTAGTATTAACAACAATATTTATAAGTTTTTTGAACAAAAAGTTAAAAAGTGTTTGTCAATACTTCAATATAAGTTATCAATAATTTTGATTATTAAATTTTTGAACCATTTTCATATATTTATTTTTTAATATCGTTTAATGTCCCTTATACTATATGCCTCATATTTAACTACCGGATTAAAACTTAATTAGATTTAACACTGTTTTTTGTTCAAAAAATATATCCCTAGTCAAAATTCCTTAAAATATTTTATAGTTTTATTTTAAATTAAATTCTTTGATTTTCGAACAGTACTTTTATGAAAATCTATTAATTTTATTTATGATTATAAATAAAATTAATAGATTTAAGAAAATTGAAGAAAATTTTGATTTAAATAATTTTGATGAAATGTATAGAATAAACCAATAAACAAAATCTCCATGAAAATACGAGATAGAAAAATATTAAATCTGCGTTTACAAAGCTGATTTATAATACTCCGTAAATATCAGCCGTATGTATTCTCTTATCATCAGTATTCTATTATCTTAACAAGTGTATGCCGCGAACTCGAGCATTTTGTTAAAGAAATTATTTACTTTATCAAACTAGTTGCATACCGGTCAATTTCTTTTAAAAATTTTGAAGTTCTTTATTTCTTGAATAGCATCAACTGTTAGAGAATTATGAATTTTAATTTTGGGACACCCAAAACTACAAGTCAGTCAATGTTTTCATTGGGTGCTCCTATAAATACAACTAGTAAGTACACAATTGTAATATCTTAAAATCTTTTATAATTTTTTATATTGGTTTTACTAAAAATATGTAAGTTAATTTCAAGTAATTTCATTTTTTAAGTCCACCCCAACCTGGATTTTGTTTATTTCTACTTCCGTCTAAAAAATACACCGCATAAAGTTATTTTTTAGAATTATCTTTGTTTTAGAAAAAGGCATTGTTAACGTGTTGCTTATAAAAGTTATGGAGATAGTAAGAAAGAATGTTAGATTTTAGGCGCATTGTCAAACACAACATTAAAAATCAAATCATTTATTGCTTATTTTGGAAAATTGTATATATTTATATTATTACTAATTATAAAGTTAAATTTTTTTTTAATTTTACTAAAAAAATCTATGCAGAGGTATGTGCTCTTCAGGCCATCTTTCTGGTCATAATGATAAAGCTATAAAGTGTAGATATTTTGAAATTTTTTTCGTTATAGGTGGTCAACCTCAAATGGGAATTTTTGGTAATACTGATCTCAGTAAAACAGGAACTCAAGGAGCAGGTAATTTAGAACTAATATATTAAAATATTACATATAAATTGTATTTATTTTTATTAACTAACAGCACCTGGTTTTTCTCTACCAACAACCATGCCGACCTTTGGATCATCAACATCTACTACTAGTACTCCTATTTTAGGACAGCCACCAACATCAAAACCTCCTTTTGATTTTGGCTCTGTAAACAAGCCAACTTTTTCCCTTGGAGCTACTCCTACATTTGGTGTTACAGCAGCTGCAACTGGAAGTAGCCCTCAATTTCCTAGCAACACTTCAGCACCTGTGAAAACTACTGCATCAACAGGATTTTCTTTGTCTTCTCAAACCCCAGCAGCAAGTGCAACATCAGGATTCTCATTGGGAAACACAACACAAGCTTCTACTGGTTTTTCGTTAGGCAGTACAACTCAAGCATCTACTGGATTTTCATTAGGAAGTACAACTCAAGCATCTTCTGGATTTTCATTAGGAAGTACAACGCACGCATCATCTGGATTTTCATTAGGAAGTACAACACAAGCATCTTCAGGTTTTACACTGGGAACCACTCCTGCATCAACAACTACAACATCAGCTGGGTTTACTTTGGGTAGTACACCTCAACAATCTACTGGATTTTCATTAAGTAGCAATACAAATAAAACTGGATTTTCATTAGGAACATCTACTATAACATCTGCAGCAACTACTACTTCTACTATTGTTTCAACACAGTAAGTGTTAACTTAATATAATTTTTTTGTTTTATATGCCAGTATATAAAAGTATAAAATATATACTAATTGTAGAACTTTTTGTCACAGGTCTAGTTGTAATCAAAATACTATAGCTCAACCAACAAACTTTCAACAACTAGTTGATCTCATCAATAATTGGACCGTTAGTCTAGAAAATCAAGAAAAACAGTTTTTAAACCAAGCAAATGAAATTACTGTATGGGACAACATGTTGACAAATCAATCTGCTAAAGTAATATAATAGCTTTATTTTTTTTATAAATCATATTCATTTCAAGATTTTCTTAGTAGTATTATCAAAACACTATTGTAGTTTATGTTGAATTATTATTACTAAGGAATTTGCATTTTTATCAATCATGACTATCAGAGTTATAAAACTATTTGTTTAAAAATAAATTTGTTCTATTATTTATAGTATTTATGATTATTAGCTAGTGAAATTGTATGATATCCTAGAACGCAAAGAAAAAGAACAAGTTGATATTGAAAATGAGCTAGACTTTTTACTATCTCAACAAAAGGAACTTGAAGATTGTTTAATTCCATTGGAACAAGAGCTACAATCAGCAGAAGTTTTAAGTAGTATGAACAACGAAAGAGAACCAATGTAAGTTTCAAAAAGTATTCAAAACTAAATATTTAAACAACAAATAAACAATGTTGCTGCAGCATTAGTCCTTATGTCTCCATTCTTGGTTTAAATATTTAGATATTCTTAACTATTATCGTTTATTTAACATTTTTGTTATGTAATAAAAAGTAATATTTGAGGCACAATGCTTTAAAAATAAAATTCATTTATATTTCTGAATTTAATCAGTCTTACCAAGGGAGATTCCTAAAAAAAAAGCTATTTACTTTTGGGACTCATTTAAGAAAATATAAATTACTGGATTTAAATTATTTGTATAGTAGATTGGATTGATATTAATCAATAAATTTGTTTTTTTACTATAAATATGTTAAATATGTTTTGAAAATATAATTCAAATTTCTTTTTAGATATAAAGCTGCACAAGAAATTGATAATCAAGTAAAACAAATGTCTGGAGATATAAAAGAAATAGTTAATAATTTGAATAAAGCAAACTCTAAAAAAGACTCTGATGATGATGTATGTATTAAATTATTAAATTAATACATAATAAAAAATTTAATGCTTATAATTCTAATTATTTCGATTTATTTTAGTTGGATACTATTTGCCGCATTTTAAATTGTCATATGACTGCTTTACAATATATTGAGCATAATGCTGAAAATTTAAGTTCAATGGTTGCAGAAGTCAACGAGGAACACTCTCGATTTTTATCAGTAACAAATGATAATTCATTTGTCTCTTCTTTCAGAAAATAGATTCAATGAAATGATTTTAAAAATATGTTCTAATTATAATTTTACTTTTAATATTGAAATCAAGTATACAATTACATTGATTTTATTTTTTATGAAAGCTATATTTAATTATTATTAGTTTATTAAAAATACATTTTGTTTGGACTTAAAAATGTTAAATTGAAATTTAGCTTGTAAAAAATTATTTATTATTTATTATAAATAATAAAATTGATTAATGATTTTATAGATCTACAGAGTGATCCATTTATTATGAATCACTGGATAAATAAAAAAATTAAAGTAATATAAAGAATTTCTTTTTTTGTTTCTTTAAGTACCTGTTTTTCTTAAATAATTAATCTTAAAGATTTTTTATGTTCATTCCATAACTTATAAAGATGTCAAATTTATTTTTTCAAATGGCAACATACATAATATGTTAAATTATTTAATAAATAATGATCTAATAATGAAAATAACTAATTGATAACAACTCTTAGATCAGTATTTTAGAAGTTATTTTTATACTTGGGCGGAAGGAAAAGTATGGCCAGCATATAATTAGTGATACAATTCATACCTGCGTCTTACCTCCCATCGTCACTACAAAATGTTATAACTTTCAAAATGCTGAACCAAAAATTTTTATCAACCAATCATTATCTTTATTAACCTTCATAAGACCGGCGTTTTAGTTGTTTAAATTACATTACTTTTATTCAATATATGAATCTAAGCACGTCCAACTTTGAAACATCATAAAAAAACTGCCGGGGTAACTTTGTACCCTGGCCGGTCTTTAACGTCACAAATAGAGCCCGGCCTTATGAAGGTTAAGGAAAAACCAGAGCTGTGGTAGTTTTGTATTCTGCCTGGTCTTATGAAGGTTAAATCATTAATTATCAAATGAGTTACTTAATTATATATAACCTTATACCGTTAAAAGTTATAAGGGATGAAAAAAAATAATACTTTATAATTGATAAATAAAATAAAATATGTATATAAAAGAAATAAAAAAAAATTCTCCAATTTATTTTTAATATGATTGATCCACAGTGCTGGTATTACATGAGGGTGGATGACAGGAGCTTTCTCGGGGTTTTGTTTTAAAAGGGAATATGCATGAGATATTTTTTTACTGTTTCCTCCAAATTACACAATTTTATAATAATTTTTATAACGAGAGGCATCCATGGCTCATTTAAAGATATATTTAATGATTTTTCACCCTAGACGAAGAAGAATAAAACATCTACACTTAACCAAAATATCATTAGTAATGTTCTTCTTTTTCCTCACCTTAATTCCAACTACATTGAGTCGACCACCCTTATCTTAAACTTTCACTTGACACAATCTTCCACATTATCTACATTCACATCAGCCCCCTCATTGCATTCAATAACATCCTCCATTTCTTTTTTAATCTATCTCTACCTCTTTTTCCTTCAATATTTATTTCTATATTTTCCAAAATTTTATTGGTAATATATTTGTAGAAAAAAAAACGCCTATATATATTGATCAATATATTTTTCATTACTTTTAAAATCTAAAAGCGTATAAGGTATACATAAAAATACATTCATTTATGTATTTTTTTTTTTTTATGAATTGTAAATGTTAAAAAAAAATTTTTTTTTTGAACAGTCAGCAGAAACACCCTCTGCAGTTTCAAAGACGTTGAACATTCTTCTTTTTTCTTTCCCTAAATACTTATGTATAATATGGTCCTGTCTATAGTGGTGGAACACAAACCTGGCGTTTGGATCTTGAGTTTACAATTTGCTAAGGCCTCGTTAGTATTCACATGCATAGCTTATTCTAATGGAAAATTACACACATATAATCATAATTTCTTACAATTGTAACTTGTCCTAACTAATTTTTTTCTGATTATTATTTTTATACATTCATTTATTTAGATTCTGAGGAGATCAATGCGTCTCCCAACTACTTAAATACTTTTTAGCTATTACATTTTAAAAATTCCTAAATATTTAAATAATAATAAATTAAACTGTAAATTTTCTTATGATTATATCTTAAGAAATCTTTTTTTTATTATTTGGACCACGGTTATATATCTACAAAATGGAATAAATTTAAGAGTCTTACACACTAGACGTTTAATAGCGTTTTTAAAAACGCGGCAGTTTTAAACTCCAACGCCGTTCATGTGTACACTGCAAGCGTTTTGACGCGTCTTTATAAAGAAAATTAGCCCGCCAAAAGCTACAGTGTAATCACAATAGTTTCGAAATTCCTACTAGTAGCATTTGCTCTGATTATTTTTTTATTTTTTAAAGTATTAAATAAATTACAATGAAGACATTAGATGATGTAGAAGTTGCATGTGTTGTATACACCATGTATCATCGTTATACAAAAAAACACAAACTAAATAAAAAGAAACAAGTGTCGTAAACATTGAGTGAACCCCCGAAATTTAAAAAAGACTTGGAGAAGGTTAATTTCAAGTTAATTTTATAACTTTGAGGAGTTATCCCGAAGATTTTTCATGTATTACCATATAGACATATAGTAATACCTGAAGAACAAACCCAATCTAACCTAAGCCCATGTTAAAATCAAAATAATATGTTAATATTTGCTAAAACGACTTTGTTATAAAGATATTGGGTATTGTGAGTATAATTTAAAAAAACTAGGGTGGTCCTAATTTAAAATAATAGATATTCATAAGGATGTAAAAAACATTTTAATTTTCTTTGTGGCTGTTACCACTTTTTCTCAGGTATTTATAATCGATTTCTTTTAACTATACGTCAAAAGATCTCAAATAATATCTAGTCGGAGACATTACCATCAAAAATTGAAAAAATTTCCCTCGTTCCCCGTAAATGGGGGAAACCTCCAAAAAAAGTACAAATTTAAAAATCGGTAATTTTCAACATTTTTTTTTTATTTAATACTCCCATCAAATTTTGAAAAATGTGTGGATCATTACAATTTTTTTATGATAAGTTTTTTATTAGTACTTCTGTACTTCTTTCGTTCGACATACTTTTTTTTTAAATCGGACCATTTCCCTTAATAAAGAGTGTTTCAAAACTTCAAATGATGACGTATAAAAAGTAGAACTTTTACAACTAATTTTTAATTAAAATATATATATATATATTGATTATTCATACGTTACCTAATAATCAAATATAAATATTTGTTATATTAATTAGAATCAAAGCGTTTTTTATGGTAGTGATTTAATGACTGTCAGTTATAATCTATACTGGACCCAATTATGCCACGTCCCCACTGTGCCACAACCCAACTGTGCTGGGTTTTTTTTTTTATATAAAATTGTAAAATTTTACTAGTCCATGCACATTAAATGGCGCATTNATTTTACTAGTCCATGCACATTAAATGGCGCATTCCGATATTTAGACGTTTCTGGTCCAAACTGTTCATTAGTATGTAGAGAGGGTGAGTACATTTTATTTATATATATTTATTAATACATAAGCCACTCATGTCGGTTATGCGTTAAGATTTTTAACGTTTCTAAAAATGTATATATATTTATAAAATAATTACAGTGAAAGGTTAATTGTATCAAATATTATAAGAGTAGTCAATTAGATCTGTTCCAAATGTATAACTGTGATTTGGACTATTTTAATTGTAATTTAGCAATAATTACGTATAACTTTAAAACTCCACGCTTAACTCTAATGTGATCCATTAAAGCTTCTATAAAATAATTTATTTTTCCATGTAAATAACGCACCTAACGGACAAAATATGAGTTTTTAACGGACAATTGTCTTTCTACCGACCCCCTCATAATCCTCATTAAAATCTCAACGTATATTCAATAGTCCTAAATACTTGTGACTTCAAAACTAATGCTTGTATTATGATTATATTATTTTAATTTTCAATTAAAGTTTCCCGCGCGCGCTCTTTATGTGTCTATGATGTTAATGTTGTGTGGATATTATGATTGACACTTTGTAAATAATAATTGACTAAAGATCCAATTTTAATTGATATGTTTATGTCATATATGTTGATAATAGTTTTTCAATTTAATATTAACGTGTTATAATTTTTGATTACATTGAAAAATCGTGCATTTGCAGGTAAGATTCATTAATTTTTAGTCACTATTAAGAATATAATTGACCTGATTTTAGTTATAATCTGCCAAATTTTTCGTGATCTAGTATTTTGTTATTGTTGATATTTTATGTATACTAAGAATTTTGAAGTTAAGAAAATATCTATATCTTTATTATGATATAAGTTATAATCATAAGATACTATATTTTTATTTAAAGGAATATTACTTTTTGAATTTATGTTTAAATATTTATTGTAGTTGAATTACTTCTATCTATTCAAAATCTACTCATTAAAAATCTTGTCAAGATATTAGTAAAAAGTACTCAAACATGCTAAAATACTCAGTTTTATTTTAATATTTTTATATATTTAATTCTTTCTTAATATAAAGTTAGGAATATGTTTTTATATTATTACATTTTTAGTGTTCTGTAATAGAATAATGGAACAGATGTAACATTTTATGTATAAGGTTTATATATAAATACTTATTTCTCTGTGATGAAATAAAAATCTGTGTAATATTTTATTAATAATAAAATTCAATATAACCAAAAAGTTTGGTGGACATGGTTATTTTATGGTTCTTGTAAAATATTTATTTATTAATTGTACTATGATGCATTCTTAATTGACCTTTTTAATAATCTATCTAAAAAGATTATTGATAATTACTATAACTATGTTTTAGTTATGGATTCTACATATTTTGGATTTATTAAAATTTTGAAGAAAAATGGTGAACTTCATAGCCGCTATCCAATTAGATCCAAAGAATGTAATTTTGGTCGCAATATTAGTAATGATATTAGAATAGCATTAGAGAGTGTATCAGCATATCATTGTACAATATTATTTGTTGACAACAAGGTAATAATCTATTTATTCACATTAAAGCAACTAATTATCAAATCTGTCTGTCATTTGATTTAGGCATATATCAGAGATAAGAGTTTAGCTGGAACTACTAAAGTTAATGGGAAAAGAATAGGGCGAAATAACTTTTTATTGAAGGATTCTGATGAAATAGATATTGCTAATAGAAAGTTTGTGTTTGAATATATAGAGTATGTATACATAATTACTTTCATCATATAAAATGTTAATTAATTTAAATGTATCTGTTAAACTAGTAAATCATTCAAGAAATCAGGATTAAACTTGCATTGTGCATCACCTAGAGTGAATACTCCATTGGTACTTAAAGTATATAAACACCTAAATTAACATTTTTTTTTTTTTAGATTTTATTAACCAATTTATTTATTTATTTTTGCTTAAAATATAAAATTTTTATAATACAGAAATTTAATACTATTTTTTAAATCATATATTATATATTATATGATATACTATATTTTTATTATTTAATAACCATATAGTTTATTTATTTTAAGGAAAATAATACACCTAAAATTACCAAAACACCATTAAGTCAACGATCTTACAAAGTTTGCACTCCAGTGTAAGTACTATTTTTAAATCTATATTAATTTGTTATCCTATAAACAAAACTTTGATTAAAAAAAAATTGTTTTTATAGTATAACAACAGCAAACAAAACTTTATCCAATGAATCTTATGAAGAGTTGAAAAATAAGACCAACAATGAATTATCAGGTTAGTCTTATTTGATGTAAGCTATAGATTATAGATTGTATAATTTACCTTACTTTTTAGTTAAATTAGGTTAGTGAATGAAATGTTGCCAAATTTTTTTGTTTAATACTTAATTTATAATTTTATACTACTAATTTGACTATTTTTCTAAAAGCATCCAATATTCCTCATGCCTAAATGATTGATGTTTAAATGATAAACTGTTGTATCGGTCATGTATTTTATTCATAGCTACAGTCCTAATAATCTATAAATAATTACTAATGAAATTTTCTCATTTCAGCTAACAAACCCAAATCAGAATTAATGAAATCTTTTTCAATGACATCTGGTCAAAATATTCCGGTAAACTATTACTTTTACTGCCTTAAATTTTACTGATATTTATTTTAAGTAATTTAATTAAATAGATACTGTCATACTCTTTAAAAAGAGTTTTTGTCTTGGGGTTGGTCACCCTTATCCTAAACTTCCACTTAACTTATTTATTAACTTATTGATTTCCCACATTATTTACGCTCACATCAGCCGTCCTCATATTGAATTTGACAACATCCCTCCATTTTTTTTTTTTTTTTCTACCTCTACCTCTTCTTCCTTCAAAATTCATTCCGATTCCTCTCTTCATAACATGACCAAACCATGTAAGTCTATTTTCTCTCATCTTATTCACAATTAATGCTACACCTATATTCTCTTTTATATGTTCGTTCCTTATCCTATCTTCTCTAGTCACTCCATCTAATCATTCTCATATTGACTAAAAAATTAAAATTTCTTTGGAAATTTAATGAACTGACTTTTTTGGATATTATATTGTATTGATCTAATCCATGACTTATTTAAAGAAATATTTCATTTGTTAGAAAAATGTTTAGTATCAAAAGAGTAATTAATTTAAATACATAATAATTAATAAAAACCATAAATAGAATTTTATAAATATATTAAAAAATGTATGAAAGTGCAAAAACACGGGATATAAACAATATGTTAAGTACTAAGTTAATTTGATAAAAATAAAGAAATTTAAAATTACTTTAGAGTTCAACAAATTTAGACTAATAGTTTTACAACTATCATTTTTATAAAGCCAGATTTCACTAGTAAAATAATTTTACTAAAAAATTTTATTGAACTCCAAATCAATATTTAAAAATACAAAATATTTTGTGTTACTTCATCTTTAATTTTAATGTTTTTTTATTTCACAATTTTAATGTAATTTGAAGAAGATAGTTTTAATTTAATGAAAGTATTGTTATTAGTTCCACCATATTATGAATTTATAATTCTGTATAAATTATATGTATTTTATTAAAATAATTTGATTAACATATCACAATTTAAAATTAATAACTGTAGAATGTATAATTATTAAGTAACTTATAATAATAATTTATTCTTATTTTGACTGTAAAAATTATCCATTAAAACTTTTAAGAGCTTATAGTTAGTTTTTACTAGAATTGATTAAATGTCCAGAATAGCATTTTAAAAATTTTATATTTTGAATCATATCTTATAACTAAATGGGCGTAACTTTATTTTTGAAAAAAGAAACATATATATTTAACTAGCTCATAAAAAGAGAATTATCTAATTAAGATAATAACTGGTCCATATCTACTTTTGGATCAGTATTTCAGAAGTTAGTAACAATTTAAAATATTGACTGGAAGTGAGTGTGGGTGGTACTAATTTTATTATTAAATATTTCTCGGGCACACTCCTTTTCCCGCCTATGTAGAAAATTATTTATTAATAACTTCTGAAATTCTGGTCCAAAAGTTTTTATTGAGTAGTTATTTTCTTAATAACATTTTCAATTTTATAAGATAGTTAAATATGTATGTTTTCAATTAAAAAAATGAAGTTGAACCCCTATAATGCATAAGAGATGAATCAAAATAATACTTAATAGTGGATGAGAGTTACTGAAAAATAAATTGAAAAATTATTATTTTAGCAATAATAAAGTGGTTCATGATTTTAGGAACACTGAATATATGAATTTATAATTTATTTGTTTATCTTAAATTTTTTTTCTAGTATGACCAACTTTTTTATTAGACAGTCTTTATTTATTTTTTAGGTTATTAATGACTGTAAGATTACCCCAAGAAAATCATGGAAAATTTCTACTGTATCAGATAATGTTTCTTCAAGTGGTGCACGTGCATTAGAACATTTGTCACTTGATAGATTAAAAAGAGATTCTACTCCTGAAGTTAACTCAAGTTATCGTTACGTTGATGAAGAAGTAGAATTTGACTCTCCCATACCATTGTGTGGCGAAGAAGAAGAAGACTTAGCTGACAAAGGTGTTATAGTAAATGACACACATTGTGATTCGAGTAAAATTTCTACTAAATCAGCCTCTAATGATGAAGTTGATGACAATGTTGATTGGCAACCAACTAGTAATATTATTAATACACCAGAAGCAACTTCTAGTACTTCTAGAAGAGATACTTACTGTATTGAAGATAGAAATATATCAGTTCATCAAAGCAGCACTCCAGCTCCAAGACGTTCTATATTAAAGACTTCAAAAACTGCCAAAACATGCCGATCAAAATCGGCTAACCGAATGGTACAATTTGCAAGATTACCTAGAACAGATAGTAAAATTAAATGTACAAAAAGTAAATTCTTTTCTGGTAATTCTTTTATTGTAACTGATGACAAAACTAATGAAACTTGTGATAAAGATATTGAACCTGATGATTTAGAGGGTGTACAACCTTTAGATAGTAGTATTACAAGTTTAACTAATTCTCCCATATTGGACTCAATTATAGTTAATAAATCATCATCTAAAAAAGGATCAAGAGGAAATCTTGTTATGAGTCTTGTGAATTCATTTGAAAAACGTACAAATGAAACATCTATTCAATCTGTTAGAGCATCAGATTTACTTAATTCAAATGGATCAAAACTCGAGTGCTCATCATCTAATAAATCTTCTCGTAATACTACAAATATATCAGAAAACTCTAGAAAAATTAATTTAGAAAGTTATTTTGTTGCTGAAGATTCCATGAATAATGTTACACAAGAATTGGACATGGTAACTGAAAAGTCATTTAATAATGTCTCACAATGTAGTGAACTTATTGATGAAAACTCTATGAATAATATTTCACAAAATGATGACCAGTTAAAGCTTGAAGATTCTGAAATTAGTATTCAACGAGATGAAAAATCATCAGCTGATGAATCTAATAAAAATGTTTCACAAGAAGAATCTATGATTAATGATTATTCAGAAATAATTTCAGAAGATGAAGAGAATCTCGTATCGGAAGATTCTTTGAAAAACATTACAGAAGAAGCAAAATTAATTGATGAAGATTCTATAATAAATGTTGATAATACTAAAAACAAGGTTATAGATTCTACCATTGAGAATTCTTTGATAAATGGAAATGAAACCATTAATAACAGTACAAAAATTGATCTAACAGAAAAAGAATTAATTAATAAGAATTCAATGAATGAAGATTTGAATAGAAAATCAATTATTGTTTATAATAATCTTGATTCAACAGACATCGCTAAAAATCCTTATAATAGCACTAAAAAGTCAATTGACTACGTAGACTATAATATAATTTCAGAAGAAATTAGTGTATTTGAAGAACCTGAGAGAATTGTTGTATCAAATAATACAACTGATGAGATAACTCCGAATGATAATCCTGAAGAAGAATTCAATTTTGCTTCTCCTATAGATATTTGTCCCGAAGAAGATTTTAAATTTGCTTCCCCTCTTGACACAAATCCTGAAAATTTAACTATAGAAAATCATTCTTTTGTTAAAGAAAATAATAGTACTTGTGAAAAAGATGATACATCACAATATAGTGAAATGGACATAGATGTATCACATGACCAATCTCAAAACATAGATAAATTCCCTGAAATATCAATCAATAAAAGTGTAATTCCAAGTAATCTTGATACATATGATAGTGTAGAAAATATTACAATTGAAAATAATATTAATATGAAATCTAAACCTTTTGAACAAATATTAAAAATTCAGAGTAAAATATTGAATAATTGCTCTAGAGTAAATGATAAATCTATAATCATTGAAAAAGATCAATCAAATGTTTCTAAACATTTACATTCTATAATCGGCACTGAAGAAACTCCTTCTCAAGTTATTCAATATGTATCTGAAATGATGAATACTAGTGTTGATAAGCTTGAAGCTTCATTTTCTAAACAAAATGTTATACAGGAAGAGAGTTTTGTTATTTTAGAAAGAGATGAAGTGAATAATTCTCTTGATAAAAGTACTACATGTGTTAAAAATCATAACATTTATAATAGAACAAATGAATCATCAAATAATATACTTACACCAGTAGAAAAATTAAATGAAAACTTATCAAACAATACTGAAACTCAACTTGATAGAAGTCATGGCAATCAAGTTAATACATCAAATTCAGACAAAGAAAATTCACTAAGTGATGATGCATCTAATAAAATATTGCCTTGTGCACTAGATGGACTGCAAGTATCAATCCTTGAATCTAAACAAAATCAATATAATGATAAAACCAAGAAAAGCTCTCCTATTATTGATATATCTGAAAATACTGTTGATGCTAATTCATTTAATGCACATCATTCACAACAAATGGAATCTCATAATCTCAATAATTTTGATATAAAAATAAAAGAAAATGAAACATTCATTATTTCTACAGATTTTCCTGTAAACTCTGGAAAATCCCACAATAAAGTAATAGATATTAGTGATACTGTTAATACTAAGTCTTTGATTAAAAATGCTTCTATAGCTAGTAAGTCTATAACATGCAATGAGAAACCATTAAATGTTATTGAAAATGTTTTAGAAAACGATGATGTATCAATAAAATCTGTAGGTAAATTAAGTAGCCGTAAATCAAAAAAGTCATTAGAATTAGAAAATGCTGCTACAGAAATAATAACTGCTAGTGAGGATGAGTTGAATGATAAGACCGATAGAAATTTGGAAAGAACATTAAATCTAGGTAAACCTCAATATGAATCCACTCCCTGGAATGGATCTAAAAATTTAAAACTACCATTGAATTCTTCTACAGATTTAGAAATATCTCAAAATGAAAATAAAATTAATTCAACTTCACCTTTATCTAATGCTGAATTATGGTCACAGATGATGATAGATTTCAATGAATCTGCTAGAAAAGCTTCAGTTTCAACTGATACTGTTAATGCTAAAGCAGTAAGTAAAATATTATTTAACAAAAATGATCAAGATAAAGCAAAACATACTGAATTTATGAACGATTATAATAAATCTATTAAACAAATTTCTACTGACACTAATATTGGTAATACTAAATCATCTAGTAAATTAATTGATGAAAGTAATAAAAATAACTTTAATAAGTTATCAAAAATCTCCAAAAATATATCTAACAATGACAAAAAAATGTCTAATACGAGCATAACAAAAACATCTATTATGCAGTGCTCAACAATAACAAGTTGCTCACCTAATAATGATACAACTGTGGCTTTTGATAATATTATAAAAAACAAACGTTCTACTAGGTTACAAAATAAGTTGTTTGAAGAATTGCAAGATGATTTACAAAATGAAAGCTTGAAAGTAACACCTAAAAGAAAATCCACTAGATCTAGAAGTCCAAAAGCGAACAGTCAAGTAGAACCTAAAGTTGATGATATTGTTGTCAAAAGTCCTCGTTTGTCAAGATCTGTTACTAAGAACATAACCATAACTGATAAAAAAAAAGGAAAACCTGCAGCAATAAATGAAACTTTGAATTCTATTGAACATCAAAGTAGTATGACAGATAATGAAAGCTTAAATATGAATAAAAAACAAAATTCATTTAAACGCCCTCGTAAAGTAAATTTGCGATCTAGAGCTGCACGTCAACCTAAAAATACTAAAGTTGTTCAAGATAGTTCATCTACTGATACAGAAACCAAATTTTCAGCCTCAGAAAATGAACATGAATCAAAAGTCGACTCTAGTAAAAGCAAAAAGACTACAAATCTTATTTCTGAAACTCTAATAGCACCTGTGATAAGAAATAATTTACGAACTAGAAGAAATGCAAATGAGGTAAAACAATCAAACCGAAAAGTTAAAAATAATAATTCTGAAGAAACAGGTGCTGAAACTTCTGTGGGTAGTGATACTGAAGTAGATACTTCGACTAATGTTATCCAAACATTTGCAAGAAAATTAAGAGGAAAAAAACAAACTAAACAAATTAGGCCAGAAGTGCAAATTGCATTAAAAGATGATGACAAACATGATAAGGTAATTGAAAATATTAATGAAACAACATTAATTAGCAATGACGTTATTCAGGCTTCTGTCAAGCAAATTACAAACAATTCTAAAGCTGATACTGATAGTGATTCTCAAAAAAATATAAAAGGAAAAGTAATTCAGAAGACTAAAATTGTCACCCAGACTAAAATAACAAGGACCACACGAAATAATGCTTCATTGATTGAATCTAATGTGCCTCAAGAAAAAATCAACTCTTCAACTAAGAAGAAAAATACCAAAAATAGTAAAAAAGTTCAAATTAAAAAGCCTCTTGCTAAGACTAACTTAAGATCATTAGCAAAACGTGGTCAATCTTCTAAACAAAATCACAACAAAGTAAGTGAATCTTCAGAATATGAAACAATGACTGAATCTGAAGAAAGCATTCAAAAACAATCTCTTTCTCCAATCTCTTGTAAAACACAAAAGAAGAGTGCTCAAGTTGAAGAATCGACAAAAAATGTTAAGAAACAATCTTCTCCATCTCCATCTACTAGAGCACAAAAAAAAAATGCTCATGTTGAGGAATTAACAAAATATATTAAGAAATCATCCCTTTCTCCATCTTTAACTAGAATCAAAAAAAAAGGTACTCAAGTTGAGGAATCTACAAAAAGTAATGTTATAGAAAAAGTTTTGGAAAATTCAAGTACAAATTCTCCTCAATTGAGTACACGAAGTCGTAAACGTGCAGCTGATACTTTGGAATCTTCACAACCCGTTACCAAAGGTCGTAAACGTGATGTTTCATCAAAAGTTCCAACTATTGAAGTTCCTCATGAGGCAAATTTAAAAGAACAACAATCTCCTTTCTCTATTAAAAAAACACGTAACACATGTAAAACAACAGCTGTTACAGTTTCTGATAACTCTTTGTTGTCATCTGAAGCAAATAAAGAGAAACCAAAATCTAATGAAAGAACTCGTGCAAAAAAAAGGGAGCTGAACCAAGATGATTCTTCTGTTGATACGGCTCCTATTGCAAGGAAGATAACAAGAAGAGCCATAGGAAATGATAAGGAATCAGAAAATAAAAAAACCAATGCATCCACAAGTTCAACCAAAACAAATAAAGCCCAGAGCACTGACACTGATGATGCTGAACCTAACATAAGTTCAAGAGTGAGATTCAACAAGTAAGTCATTTGTTTATTAAAATTAAATTTTTCTTTAATTTCCTTAAATTCTTTTATATTTTGACAGAAATATAGACACAAAATCCATTTCACCCAGACCAAAAAAAATGATAAAAACTAGGTAATTATACAATTTGTATAATAATAATTTTTGTATTAAATTTTTATTTTTTCAGAAATGCCAAAGTAGTTCCGTTCACTTCTGAATCTCCACGTGGTCGTGTACTCAGAGTTAGAGATACCAAAAAATAAATTTTGGTTATTTCATTTTATTTTTAATGTGAAGATGTGTGTACTTCTAATAATTTTATAGTTTAAGAAAATTAAATTAATTTTTCTATTTATTATTTATATTTACTACAAATATGACTTTTTTTTTTTTTGTTAAAATTTGATGTTTTTTATCATTTGAATTATCTTAAATATAATATATATAAATAAAATAGATATTATTTTTTAGATATTATCAACCTAAACAGATGTATAATTATTCTAGATATTTTTTTAGAACCCAAAAATTTAATTTAACTGGTCAATATATTAATATAACTCCTTAGTAGTTCATTTTTTACTTGATCATTTCAAAACTTATAATATTAATTTTATGTTAGCGTTGATGATATTTTATTATAAGTTTAAAGTTAACTAAATCATTAATAACAGCTTTTATATTTGTTATTAATGTTAAAAAATTGTATATGCTCAGTTGCTACATGCCCGATCCATGTAATATTTTTTTGACATAATATAACTTTTAAATTATTTAATTTGTTTATTTTTTTTTATTTATAAAATAATGAAATGTTTTACAAATAAAGGCCTAGATAAGGGGATTTGTGGTTCATATTTCTATATTTTTTATTTTATCAAATTATTATTAAAAATAATGGGGTAGGAGTTTATGTTTAAAACCACCTCATGAACAATTTATAGCTATATCCTTCAAAGTGTTTAACTTTAATTCTATTTGATTTTTTTTTCATTAATATATTATTACATTAATATTTGTAGACCCAATTACAATTAGGCTTAGGAAGAATATTAAATGTCTTGATAATAAAATGTCAATTAAAAATAAATTTATTTAAACATTTAGGTACTTAAACAATTGATAAGAAAAAATAAAAATGCTCTTACATTTTTATAATTAAATAAAATTAAGCTATGCAAAAAATTTTATTTGTGTAATGTCTCTTAAATTTTTTTTTTTTGTAAAATATCCTTATAAATTGTAAAACTAGACCAGAATTTGCAGATTTTACGTTTATTCCTGTAATACTACTTCACATTATCATGTATTCATATCATGCAGTATTGTATTCGCTACTTAATACATATTATACATAGGATAAATATGTAAATAGGAAATAAATGTTAATATAAAAACACAAGTATCGGGGAGATGGTATAGTTTATTGGTTTCATAACAGTTTCATCTAAAAATAATAAATGTTTTATGACAATAAATCAAGAATTACACTTAGAACAAAAATTGTATGAAATTATAACTTATAGAACGAGAATAGTGAAAAAATAGTGTTGTCAATAATAGAGGAAGGATTTCTAATACTTATAAAAAAACTTTACATGACTATTTATGTAAAAATTATATCCATTTATACTATTGCAAAATAAATATTACCTTATCAAAATGAAATGAGATGATAATACATATAAATGAAATATATAATAATAAAAAGTTATTTAACTTTTAAGAAAAAAACTATTACAAAAATTTATAAAAAGGGATGAAATTGAGTTACAAAATAAAATTGTTAAAAACAGTAAATGACAATGATTTTGAGAAAGGATGAAGAAATTGTATAGTTGTCGAATGATTAAAAATACTTCATTATTTCTGCTGTGTTGAATTTGAACTCTGGCCAAGGGTTTGTTTTCTTAATATCAATTTTGTTACTTTTAAAATTATCAATGACCTTGATAGGAGCGATTGGGTCTTTTTGCACAATAGGCGACTTTGAAACTTCCAAACATTGAGGAAACAAGGCGAAAAATTCTTTAAGCTTAGCTTCCTATATTTTAATTTTAAATTATGATAAATTTTTTAATTAAATAGAATGCTTTAAAATCATACCGAAATAGCATTAGATTCAGTAACTGTAACAGAAGAATTCTGTTGCGTTTGTGTTGGGCTATTACAATTAGATGAAACATTAAGAGTTTTTGGCGAACTATATCTTTCAGGAAACATAGCAAAAAACTCCTGTGTTTGATAAGTCTAAAATTAAATATAGTTGTTAGTTTAAAATATTATAATATATTTATAAAAAAATGTATAGATACTCACAAGTTCATTTATATTATCATTCTTTTTATTTGGCGTAGAACCATTGCTAATAGAGTCTTTAAGATCTCTTTGCATAGGAGATTTAAGTTTTTTACCCGTTTTACTATTTAATTTTGCTTTCACATTTTTTTTAGATACCCAACTTTTCAATTGTCTGAAATAGTATGAATGAAAAGTGTTTGAAATTATTTCATATGAACAAATAATAACAATTTTTTACCTGATAAATGGCAGTATCATATAAAAAGAGTAGGAATGTTTCTGATTTTGATTCCTAGCAGCTATGTGATCTCTTCTGTTAGAAGGAAGTTTATCTAATGGAAACCATGAAATTGATCCAATCTCATTGCGAGTTTGGGGGATAAATTTTGTCTGCATACTAACACCAGGAACAATATATAATCTATTGATTTGATCATTTAATACGGTTTCAATATAATCATCTTTCTTAATCATATTTCCAATATCAAAACCTATTTCTTCATAAACCTTAAAATTTGAGATTACAAATAACAAGAAATTTTTTTGTAATTGTTGTGAGTAAACAGTTACTTAGTTTGAAAATTGTTTATTAGGTTATAGTTTTAAATTACCTCTCTAACTGCACAATTCAGTGGATCTTCATCCTGATTTACTTTGCCTTTAGGGAAACCCCAAGATGTTTTAGTCCAAAAACTTTGGACCAGTAACACTTGAGTCATATCTTCATTTAATAGAATAGCACCAAATGTAGGTACTGATCTTTTATATTCACGCCATTCTTTTAGTACATCCAATACTTGTGATTCACGACTTCTTAAAAATGGTATATGCTGAAAAATAAAAAAAATAGTTAGAAAACCTAATGTTTTTATAAAATAATTTTTTTAATATGGAATATTATGTAGTTCATATATTATAATATTCACTCTCTGTTCTACTAAAGAACATACCAATTGGTATCAAAAATTAATTCAAGGTTAAATATCTCCTCAATTTTTATACTGTTGGTGAACCATTTACAGTACAACAAAGGTAACCGAAGATTATAAATGAATATAGCCAATCAAACGGTTTATCATTTACTTGGTTGGGTTGGGTCAAAAGATCAAAATTCCTCTAATTTTTTTTTTTATTATTTTTTTGCAAATTATGAATCTTAATAACATTTGAATTTATGATTTTTTACATAATATTTTAAATTACTTTGAAAAAATTCGATTTCAAATTACTGTTTTTAAAAAAATATCAAACTCTGTTAAATAAAGTGTAAGTAAGGTAATGAAAAAAATATTTAAATATTGTGTGTTAAAAATATGTGATGAAAAAATAATTACCCGAAACATATGTAAAGCAAACTGGTTGATACCATAAGGCTTCAAGTTGTGTTCACCACAGTAAAAATCTAAGTAAAACCAATGAGCTAATTCAATTTGAAAGCATATCCTAATTAGATTTTGTCTCTCTTCTTCGGGAACATTAATTATAAAGCGACTAAAAAATAATATAAAATTATCATAGACAGCCAAAGATAGAAAACTAATTTAACATACCAACTAAGGTCATCGAGAATTTCCTTAGTTAATTTTGTTTGTTTGGGTTGCTGCTGTTGATCACTTTTTTTTCCAGTAACTGGCTTCATTTCAATTACCATATTTTAAGTAAATACAAACAAGTCGCATATGAGCGAACTGGTAAAATTAGTGATTCGCGATTATTTTGTAATAGCACAATATAGAACGATTTAAAAGTTTTAAAAAACGTGAATATTCACTAAATTTTAAAAAATTAAACAAAATTATATCGTAACATTAATATCACACTTGTAGGTAAATTATAATTTAAAATTATAAATAATTACATGACTAAATGCCTTAGCTTACAGTGTCTCGTGAGTCATTATGTCCCTGCATATATGGGATCATTCATTTTGTTATAATTTAAACATAAATCGATAGACACGGCCATTTAAATTAGAAAACGAAAATTACAATCTAATAGGAAATTGAATTACCTACTTAGTCGCTTGTTTTTGTTAACATTGTGCTTTGCTAGCAGTTTACGACGCAATTTCGTGACGTCATGAGTTATCAACAGGAAAAAGTGAAGAAGCAATCAGCTGATTTCTTAATTTTCTTCCATGTAATTTTAAACTCTAAGGTATTCTGTTATAATTGTAAAGTTTGTATTACGTTATTTAGGAGTATTAGAGGTTAATTTTTCTTCAATACAAGTTTGATAAAAATTTATTTGCTAAACGTCATATTATACAATTTTGTGAACTTAAAAGTATACTATAAATCAGAATTTATTATTGACTTGCTTAGTAATAATAGCGTATTAAGGATTCTATCCTGAATAGGCTTTATTTTTAATATATAATAAATATAATATACGAGGTGTGTTCAGAAAATAACGGGAATTTTTGGTTTTTGAAAATGATATTTATTTATTAGTCTACCTTATTGTTGTCGCCCTTAAAAAAGTCCCCATTAGATATTTTGTATTTGTGCCAATACTTCTTCCAATCCTCGAAACACTTCTCAAACTCAATCTTTGTGATAGCCTTCAGCTCATTCAGTCATGCGCTTTTAATGTCATCTTTGCTTGTAAAACGGCGGCCCTTCTTTTTATTCCCAAAAATAAAGTGATTATTTTTGGGAATAAAAAGAAATTACACGGAGCCATGTCTGACGAATATGGAAGCTAGGGCATCGTTACAGTATTGTTTTTGGCCAAAAATTCATAAACAAGCAATGAAGTGTATGCAGGTGCATTATCAAGGTGTAAAAGCCATGAATTATTTTGCCACAAATCCGGGTGTTTTTTCGGATTGCTTCATGCAAACGACGATGAACTTGTCGGTAGTACTCCTTATTGACCGTTTGACCTCGTGGCAAGAATTCAAGATGATTAAAATCGAAGAACATAGTGAGCATTACCTTCACGTTCGATCGCACTTGTGAAGCTTTTTTCGGTCTTGGCGATCCGGAATGCCACCACTAAGCCTAAGTTTCGACGTCGTATCCTTAAACCCATGCTTCGTCACTTGTTATAACACGTTTCAGTAATTTTGCATTGTCGTTGACCACATCAAGTGTACTATACTATACTTTACGTTATTGTACAGTGGGCTTGAATTAGCCAACAAGTATAAAATTGGTCACTTTCAAATTTATCTATTCAGCTTTCTTAATATTTTAATTACAGCTTTATTTTATTTGATCAAATAAAGTTGGATATATAGTCTACTCCGAATAAAAGATAATCATTTATCCAATTTTATGTTTTCTAGTTCACAATCGTTTTAAAATTATAGCTAAATTTATACTTGATGGTTAACTTCTTTATAATTGTAAATAATTAGGAATTTTTTTTTGATTGGGAATGTTTCTCTTTAATTTATTTACAAGAATTCTCTCAAAACTCATATTGTGTTTAAATACTAATAAATATGTTATTAGAGAATTTTCGATATTTTTGCTATCATTCAGTTAACCAAATGTAATATGATTGTTATCCATCATAAATTTTCAATAAACATTCATTACTTCAAATAATTTTCAAGAAAGTGTAAGAAATAATTTAGTTATATGATTAATATTTATATTTATAATTAATATTTAAATAGTGGAATAGATCTATTCAGTAAACCGACACTTTTATAAATTTAGTTTTATTTCACTATAATTTTTTTAAAAATAATGTTTTGTATTGTTAAACTACAAAAAATCATATTTTTAGTTTTGATTCGAAGCTGAAAAGATATTAATTTTACTATGATGTGTTTTTTTTGTGTCTGTTGCCACTATTTCTCAGCTCTCACTGGACCAATTTCTTTCAATGATAGGTCAAAAGATCACAAATCGTATGTTATTGAAGACATTTTCCTTGAAAATTGAAAAAATTTCCCTCATTCCTTGTAAGTGGCAAAAATCCCCCAAAAAATTACGATTTTTATAATCTGTAAATGTTGACATTTTTTTCACTTTTTTTTTTTTAACTACTATAACTTTTTGAAAAATAAACGAATAAACATAACTGTTTCTTATATTGAAACCTTAAGTAATTCCCTTTTATTTGATATAATATTTTTGAAAATCTGACCCTTTACTTATCCACAAAAGGGAATTCAAAATAGCCACTTTTTTACAAAACTCGACTTTTTTAACTTATGACAATGATCCGGAAATACTGAGTTCATTAAACATATATCAAATTATAACTTAAATTACCTACTTTAAATTAAAAAAAAAATTGTCCCGATCTTCTACGAGCAAACAGCTGCCGTAGTTTAAAAAACATGCTATTTTGTGTTCAAATTTTATTTTATTTCTGTTTGTTTATTTTAAAATACCTTATAGTAATTTGCCATAGTAATGAGTCCACCAATTACTATAAATTTTACATGAATCTAACTTACATTAAGTAAAATTATGTTTATTTTGATTATTTTGGCTCTTCAAAGTTAAGAAAGTTTTTTTGAATTTCTGAAAACTTGAAAATTTGTATAAAAAGTAGGACTTTTTCAACTTAAATTTTGAAAATGTTCCGGGAATACTGCGTCTTTTAAATATTTGTTAAAATAAAGCCTACTTTATGTACTAGAAGTTCAAAAGAAAAAAATTGTACCGACGACCACCTATTTTATATGTACAAATGGCAGTCGAAGAAGAACAAAAAATATGAGTTAATTTTGCTTTTGGAATAATCCACCAATTCTTAAAATTGAACACAGAGATTTTAATCATTATTAGATATCATCTATACTTATCCCAACTATGTCACTGTGCTACCGTTTTTATTATTTATTTTTATTGGAAAAAAATAATAATAGTAACTTTTACTTTTTACATTTTTTTTAAACATAAATTAGTTACCTTTTCTTATAAAAATGATTAATATGTCTCAGGGCTTATTTTAACGGGTAGTAGAACCTGAATTGGTAGTTGAAAACATAATTTGGGTAGTTGAAAATTCAAAATTGGGTAGTAGATTTTTTTCACCTGTAGGAAACTAGGTAAATTCTAATAATAAAATATTGAAGCCATAAATTTATATAAATAAAAATTGAAAGTTATCAAATTAAAAACGTTTTTTAACTTAAAATTTTAAGCACATATTTTAATTTTTAACAAATCGTAATGTATTTTTATTATATATTAGAAAAAAGACTGGCAACGGTATGATCGCATTGCGAACGTATAAGTTTTCTATAGACCTATACGTCGTAAGACGACTTCGTGTGCCCGATGCGCATTGTGGCATTGTGTAGTAGTCGATATAGTATAGTAATGTACGATATCGATAATGTCGTCGTGCCGTCGTTAAAACCCATTTAAAAATAAATAAAACGCACAGTATCGCAANATATTTTTATTATATATTAGAAAAAAGACTGGCAACGGTATGATCGCATTGCGAACGTATGTTTTCTATAGACCTATCGTCATAAGACAATTTCGTGTGCCCGATGCGCATTGTGGCATTATGTAGTAGTCGATATAGTATAGTAATGTACGATATCGATAAT